AAAATATATTATTAAAGTTTGTTATTTGTTTAATATACTAACAAAATGCAATATCAGGCCCTATTCCATCTAAACCCGTCAGATTGAAATTGTTTTTGGAATTGAATATTAATGGATAGAATTTGAATTTAGCCATGTCCTAGTTTTCTAAAACTAGCCAATCAAGTTTCAAAATATTGACACGTCCCATATACAAGTAGAAGTGTATCGGACGAATCGATACTTTTTTTTTATTTTTTTTGAAAATCGATTCAGAGGAGCGATTTAAAGTTCCTCCACCTCTGAATCGGTCAGATCACAATACACCTACTGTAGGGGTAATATCAAAGAAGTTCTAGAATGATACATATCAATCAATACGAGTCGATACATATCGATACTTTAACCCTTGTAACCAATAGCAATTTTCAATTTGAATTCGATTCATTTGTAGTAAGGCATCCAGAAAAATGCAGTGGGCCCCGCTCACCTGATTTTCAACCTAACTCATACCCGTATTTGGTTCACAAAAAATTGTTTTCTATAACTAAACCCGACTTGAATCCGACAACAACAGGGATAGAATCATAATTTGGACATTTTATACATCTTACCAGGTATGCATTATCCTTTATCCTTTACCACGTATGCATCATCTCACCATATATATATGCATTTTATTTTATGCTCCGTTCTATAGGCAATACTTGGTTCCTACCATATAAAAGCTGTCTGACCACCTCTTGATTTTCATATTTAAACTATAAACCCCTAACCCTAAAGTTTAAACCCTAAAAATTTAGACTAAATCCATAAATATCTAAACCCTAAAATTAGAATTTGGGTTTCTTCACAAAATCCTACTCACACCAATTTCAGAGCACATTGAGAATATCTTTTTGTATTTATATGTTTTCAACTCATGGAAGATGTTACCAGTGCACGATTACAATTTGATATGAGGTGAGTGCGAGGAAAGAGCCCGTATTCTTGAATGCCCATTCACCGATAGGGGTGCAACTTGGACGGGCCCAGCCCGAGCTCAAACCGGTTCAATCCAGAAATTTATACAGATTGGACTTGGATTTTCGGTCCTCGGGCTGGGTTCGGACTCAAGAAGTCAGGCTTTTTTATTTTTTGGGCCAGACTCAGGCCTAACCCTTAGGTAGCCCGAATCCCACCCGACCCGACCCAATTATATACATCTATACATATATGTGTATGTATGTAAATGTTGCATACATATTTACATGTATATACATATATATTTGTATACTAGTAATTAAGCACATGCGTTGCACGTGAGAATTTTTTCTTTATATTAATTACTTGAATTTTAGATATATCATAGTTAAGATAGAAATTGAAAATTAACAAAATTAACAATATGATTAAAGATAAACTCAAATATTTATTATTTAATTATGACATCATGGGTTTTTTTGAAAGGTTGGATCACTAACCCACATCTAGATAAGAAAATAACTTTGCTTTTGGATTAATTTTAAATTAGGAAAAATTATAGTTGGAGCCGGTTGTACATTTAAAATCAGGCTACAAGTTGGTCTATAAACCAACAAAACTCTGACAACCGGCTCTACATATCAAATTATAAAAACCCTCGCCATGTCATTGGAGGCTTATGTGGCTATAACATGGGACTCTTAATCCATGTTGGACACAACAAAAAGCTTATATTGAAATTGCCCTTTAATATTGGGTGATTGAAAAAAAAAAAAGGTTTTTAGTTTCTCTCTCTCACAAACACAGTCATCTTTATCTGCACAACAACTATGTGATTTGAAAATAAATAAAAATGGTTTTTGGCTTCTGTATTTACATTCTCTATATCAATTTCTCTCATTCTCTCTCTTCTCTCTCTCTATTTATTGTTTTCCCTTAATCTTTCTCGTTCTCTTTCTCAGTCGATCTCTCATTCTCCCTTAATTTCTATCGAACATGAAACCAAATTGGTATGGTTAAAAAACTTTTACACCAATTTAATAAAAATTCACAAGAAGCTCTTAGTTATGAAATTTACACCAACTGGAGAATGATAGAGATTGAGGAATAAGGATATATTGACCGAGAGAAAGAGTGAAGAAGAAGAATGAGAAAGATTAAGGGAGAACAAGAAAGAGAGAGAGAGAGAGAGAGAGAGATTTTGATTTGGCTATAGATCTAAGCTGAGAGAGTGGGAGAGACAGAGGGAGTGGTATATCGAGAGATGACTGTGAGAGTGAGAGAAAAGGGAGGGAGATCGAGAGACAAAGGGATTGAGAGGGAAACTTAAAACCTATTAACCTATTTTCGATTTAGGTTTTTTGTTGTGTCCAACATGGACTAAGAGTCCTATGTTGGCAACAACCACATAAGCCTCCAATGACATGGCGGAGATTTTTATAATTTGAAATGTAGAGATGGTTGTCAGAGTTTTGTTGGTTTCTGGACCAACTTTTAAATGTACAACCAACTTTGACTATAATTTTACCTTTAAATTATATATTTCATTTACATTATATAAAATATTTTTTATTTATCACACTTAATTGTTTGTTTATAGTATTATTTGACTCAAACCACTAACCCACCATCTAAAAAAAATTGTTTGATTTCTAGGTTAACATTAAATTTTGTATTACATTTCCATCATTGATAAAATTATTTCTTATGTATAAAACTTATTTTTATTCAATATAATGAATGCACAATATTAGAGATGTACCCAATATTTTATTTTTTATAAATATATAACATAGATATGTACTCAAATTTTTCTCTATCTTTTTTTTTTGTGATTCTTTGTATTTTTTATTATTAAAAACTTTATTATTTGACTATGACATCATTTCATTTCTAGGTAAATTTTGAGTTTGGCATTCCGTTGTCATCATTAATAAAAATACTTCTTACATTTTATAGTTATTTATTTTAATTTTTATTATTTAATTATGACATTATTTATTAATCCATTTGACCCCAAATGGTCGAATTGCTTACCCACTACCGGGAGGGAAGAAAGTGGTTTTGTTTTCAAATTACTTTTTAAAATATTTATTTTTATATTATTAAAATTAATATTGTAGATTTAACTACAAGAATTTAAGGATGAGAAAAATATATCTTAAATATAGGATTTAATTAGAGAGAATAGGAAAATATTTTTATTTCCAATTGGTTTTAAAATTTACATTCCGTTTCCATCATTAATAAAAACATTTCTTATTTATCATACTTATTATTATTTAATATGTATGTTAAAAATGTTTCCAATTTTTTTTTAATTTCTATTTTTTCATTTTATCTATTTATAATTTTATTATTTAATCATGGCAACATGGATTAACCCATTTAACCCAAAATGATTTAATTTCTTATCACCACCTAGATGAAAACACTATTTTTAATGGGTAGATTTTAAAAGTATAAGCTTTTATGTTATTGGAATTATTAATTTATTGAGTATGGATTTAATTAATAGAACTTAATGATGAGAAGAAACAAAAAATGATTTAAATATATCGTTCAATGAACATAAATGCAAGTTAATAACTTAAATTTGGATTTAATGAGAGAGAATTGATATAACTTTTGATATCCTTAGAAAATTCAGAAATATTCTTGAGGTCATTCGTACTTTTAAAAGTAGTATAAATATAACTTTTGTATAGATATTTTACATACATATTTACATACATACATAAATATATGTATATATATTTGCATAAATGCATATATATACCAACCCGAACCCGGCCCAGGCCTGAGTCCAACTTAGATGCATCAAATTACAGGGCGGGCTGGGCACAAGTTAGAAAAATTGGGCTTGACCTCGGGCTCGGGCTGGGCTTGGGCATTAAGCCCAAAATTTAGGGCTGGGCCTGGATTGACCATAAACGCGGCCCAACCCGCCCAACTTGCATCCCTATTCACCGCCGGGTAGAAGACAAATATTTAACCGGCCCGATTATGTAAATGGATATGACGTGGATCCACAGTCCACACTACTGAGAGCGACCCGTTTTACCATGCTGCTTTACTTTTTGGATGGACCCATCGTACCGGGCAAACCGTTTTAAGAAGCCACAAACTATCAACACTTCGACAGGAGGAAGCTGAATACAGTTGGCGCAATTTCAGGTGTATGAATTTTTTTCCGCCTTATGCCCCTTACTTTCACTTTTTTCCAGGAAAAACAAACCTCAACCGTTGGATAAATGAGCCCCAAACGTGACTCCCACTCCACTAACTCATCTTAAACATGGCCCACGAACGGCTTTACGATCTCGATCGTGTCTTATGCGGCGTACAAAATACAATCCATTTCATCGTTTCCAATTTTCCATCACATCACATCTGATAGACATTATTGGACTTGGCCCATAGAAATATCTTGGGCCACGTGGCTAATGAACAACAATTTAATCGGTAATGACGTGTAAAGTACGAGCCACCGAAGAAAAGAAAGCCCTAATTATCACAAATTAATAAGGGGAAAAGAACATGATAGAGATTATTTTCTCGGTCACGTGGTAATGTCAGATCTGACGTGGCTATTGATTGTCAAGTAAGTAAATAACCGCGGCCCGACCATACCGTACTCCCAAATTCCATCCACAGATTATCCTAACTCTAACCTACCGCGAGTCGCGTTGAGTAAAGGGGCTTGCTGACTCGGCGCGTTGTCACGGTCTCCATTCTGGATAAGGTTTGGACACCTAATTATTATCCAGTGTTTTCTGGATTAGGAATCTGAGTTACAGAAACATCCTACACACTGTATCGTAGCCTGTAAGATTCCAAATCAACCAAGATCAGAAGATCCTTGTGGGGTCTACGGACTACGCTAGTAGAAACGATGGATTAAAAAAAAAAAGGAACCTTATCCCCTACAGCACGAGGATCTAGGAATAGTGACTAAGCTCAGATAACTTGGGCATACCATAACCAGTACAGCTTGGCAGCTTGCGCGGCCTCCGTCTATGGTCTGAGTCCTATTTATACCAAACACATCCTTCTCTTCAATCTTCATTGCTTTGCTTTGCTTTCTCGGTTTCTCTCAGGAGAAGAAACAAGAAATACAGAAGAGAAGAAGAAGAAGAAGAATGTTGGCTATATTTCATAAGGCGTTCGCTCATCCTCCGCAGGAGCTGAATAGCCCTGCCTCATCGAGGGTGAGTAGAAAGCCAAAGACACCGGAAGAGACTCTGAGGGAGTTCCTCTCTTCTCATCCCTATAACAATTTCTCCATGAGCTTTGCTAACGCGGCGGTGCTGGCTTACGCTCGCCCCGAACGCTCCTACTCCATTCACCAGAGGTAACGACGCCACGTCTCCGGCTGATGCCTGATGGGTTCTGGTTCTCAACTCTTTAGATCAGGACTAATGACTAAAAAATGAGGGTTTTTTTTTTTTTTTAATCTGTTGAAAATTGCAGGTTGTTCTGTGGGTTTGATGACATATACTGCCTGTTTCTGGGGAGCTTGAACAACTTATGCACCCTGATCAGGCAATATGGTCTGTCGAAGAACACCAACGAGGCCACCTTCGTGATCGAGGCCTACCGTACTCTCCGGGACCGTGGGCCTTACCCGGCTGACCAGGTCGTCAAGGATCTCGAAGGCAGCTTCGCTTTTGTCATCTACGATAGCAAGGCCGGTACCGTCTTTGCTGCATTGGTACGCCCACCGGCCACCGTGTCTGTCGTCTGTTTCTCTCTCTCTCTCTCTCCATGGTGGTTTAATTGGTTTGGGTTTGGCAGGGTTCCGATGGAGGGGTTAAACTATACTGGGGCATTGCAGCGGACGGGTCGGTGGTAATTTCCGACGAGTTGGAGGTCATAAAAGGAAGCTGCGCAAAATCCTTTGCGCCATTTCCTACTGGTACGTAAGGGGCATTTTGGTGATTAAAAATCATGGCCCACAACAAATCACATCTAACCTTTCTTTACAAAATTAATTAATTAATTAGAAATGTGTACAACCTACGTGCACAGTAGTAGCGTAGGACAGAAATAAAGGGCTCAGAGAGTGTATGGGACCTAATTATGATTTATGATTTATGACGTAAGGGTTTGGTGGTGGTGGTGCAGGGTTCATGTTCCACAGCGAAGGAGGACTGATGAGCTTCGAACATCCGATGAACAAGGTGAAGGCGATGCCCAGGGTTGATAGTGAAGGGGTGATGTGTGGGGCCAATTTCAAGGTTGATGCGTACTCGAGGATCCACAGCATGCCACGTGTCGGAAGCGAGACCAACTGGATGACATGGGATTCGAATTAAAATATCAACCAAGACAAACAGAAGAGAAGGCCGAGTGTGTTGTGTTGGTGGCTTGGTGCAAAATGTGATCAATATAACACACACTCACTCTGGCCCCCACCAAACACCCTTTTCCTTTTACTTTCTTTTCTTTCTACATCGTTCTGTTTTTGTTTTCTTTTCTTTTCTTCCTCTCGAGTCTGGATTACTGATCTCTAGGTTCCACGTGGGTCCCTCCCTAAGATTATGCATGTATATCATGGCTGCTGTATGTCTGTATCACTGTATCCCCATCTCCTCTGTCTCGATGACTGTACATATTATGATATGGTGAACCAAAATAACATAATTTTCGTAATTATCTCTTCTCTCTCTTTCCAAAGGATAAGGGTCCCAAACAGAGATCCAAAGTTCCACACAACTCCAGAAACTACTTATTCTGTCTGATTTGGAATTCCCCATCTCCTCTGTCTCAATGACTCTACATAATATGATATGGTGAACCAAAATAACATAATTTTCGTAATTATCTCTTCTCTCTCTTTCCAAAGCGTAAGGGTCCCAAACAGAGATCCAAAGTTCCACACAACTCCAGAAATTTCTTATTCTGTCTGATTTGGAATTCCCCATACGAGGAGTAAGGGAAGGAAATTAGCCTTCAAATTAAGCTTTGAAGATGTTATGCCCAAACAAAAAAGGTTCATTTAGGACTGCAAATGGATCGAATTGAATAGTATATACTCGTTTATGTTCAAATTTGAAACCATCAGATTGCATTTGGATATGATAGTATAAATAATTTAAACTTAAAAATGATTAAAATATTTTATATCATTAATAAAATGAACTAAATATATGTAAACTTTGACACTGTATTCCTAATTTGTTCTAACAAAAAATAAACAAAATTAATTAAAAATCAGTTGTATGAGACTTGAATCTAAGACTATTAAGTAAAAGCATAGCATTCAAACCAACTTGTGTGAAAATGAAATGAATATACAATATATAAATTTTAAAAGTTTATATGATTATATCTGCAGATAAGACCAATGAACATATAGTTATATTTTCACTCACGCCGTGTATCTAAATCTCCTACACTAAAGACCTAGCACCATGGCATAAAGTAATCAATAAAATTTCATATGCCACGTTACCATGAGAGTGAGTAAATTAATAATTTTGTTTTACTTTATTTTAATCAAAAAGAAAGATATGAGCGTGAATAGGTGGATGTGTCCCGTCCAAAGAGAGTATGCTGCTGGCCCCCCAACAGCTTTATCTCATGTTCATTGAGGCTTAAGCGGTACACTAGGAGTTGAAATCAGCCCCCTACAAGATGCCTCATCACTTCTGTTATTATCATCAGGAGATATTCTCAATACACGACAAAAATATGCTCTGGAATATTGTGGGAAACTATCTTATAGGGGTTGATTTGAACTCGGTACATTAAAAAGAATTTTAACGAATATGATACTAAAAAGAATTTTAACCAATTAACCCCCACATCACAGGACGAAGAGAGACAAAATAAAACTTTAAGTTTAAGCTTAAGCTTGCGAAGGGAGCTTCATTTCATTTGGCAAAAGCAACTTTTAAAAAATACAAGGGAATCCAGAAAAGTAAACTAATAATAAAGTGGCCTTCACTTCACTAGCAAGGCAAGACTCAAGAGCATGGGCTTAAATGATCGGAACCCTCCGCCTCCGGTCAATAATCAAATAACCATAGGCTTCATTTTGGTTTAAAATCTTTCGTCGTTTTCCTTGATGAAACTCCAAAAAGAAAAAAAAAAAAAGGTTTAGGTATCCATTAATCCATGTCGGCTACTTCCTACATGCATGAGAGCACCCTCTATGGATAATTGGATTTTGCTCAGTTGCCTTGTATACTAGTCACAAGAAGACGAAAATGTACATGCCCAGATGCTCAGTTTCTCTTCCCTCGTGAGGAGTTTCTTGCCTAGAATCTAGAGTGTTGGATTGCCTTTAACATGTGCCACCAATGTATTTGAATCAAGATTGAATTGCCCTGTCAAACTGATGGCCCTCACCAGTTTGTGGTTTGGGCCTTTGGGGCCATGGTTTATTTATCAATATGGATTGGTCATGTTGACCTATATATATACTCCGGATCTCCTCTCATAAGAACTCTGTCCACATCAATCCACAATACATTACCTCTATGCATTGTAAACATCGCCCCGTGCATAATACTATATAGGAGGATGAGATGTTCCCTATGTATGACTGTGACGTTATGTGGGTAGACGTGGGCATAATTCTTTTGGGCAGGAGATCCAGACTCATATATATTGATTTTGTAGTTTAGTGGCACGCAGTACAGGTGAAATGGTTGATACTGTATAGAGCTAATTCAGTTCCCATTATATTTCTCTCACTTCATCAACCCAATTTAACTTCTAGTGTAAATCGCAGACCAGTGCCCTGTATTTTGAGCCTATTCTCACCTTGGTACCTGAATTTCTAAACATTCCAATTCACTACTTGAACTCCCAAAACGTCCACAAACAAGGAGATTTGAACCAAATATTTAGGAGGCCTTTTTTTGGCAGGCAAAACCCAAGTATCTAGGTTGGGAGGAAACTTATGATAAAAAAAAAAAAGTTGGGTAGCAATAAACCTACCACAAGACCATGCTTCAATTACTTGTCATAATTATTTGAGTTCAATATTCTAACTTATAGTTTCTCTTCTTTGCTCATACTTATTAGCAAAATTAAAAAACAATGGATTATTAAAATTTATATATTATAAATATAAACAATAATTATATTTATTTTTTAAAAAATTAAGATAAAAATTGCATCTGTGACTTGTTCTGAATGTCCTAGTAGTTCCTACTTTATATAAAATTATTGAAGTATGTGATTTTTATGTTTATATACCTTATTGTTATAATGTATTTTTAGGATTTATTTGAGTTTTCCCATGTATTCGTACTATCCTAATTTTTCTACTCTATCCATGCATATCCCAATAAATTTGAACCCTATCGGTAAGTCGTGTCTTCAGATTTGATCCGATCCAACTTGTTTTCTTTAAAAATTAATAAATTATTAAAATAAAAATAAAATATACTAATTTAAATAAAGTAAAAACAAAAATATAAGTATTTTTAATTATTTTCATCATATACATACATGTTTTTTTATAAAAAAATAAATAATATAACAAATTTATAAAAATCTAGTATAAAAATATATTTATAAATAAATAAATAACATATATATGTATTATTATAAATATATAATATACATCGGATCAGATCTTCTCAGATCGGATAAGGGTGATCCAAATCCGATCCGATTTCTGATCGAATCATATTATCCGATCCGATTCGAAGATCCAAACAGGGATAATCCAAATTCGACCAAATAAAATTGGGTCTCAGATCGTATCCATTTGCACCCCTTAAGTCATGACTATCCTATGGGTGTAAAATTAGAACATTATCTGTAACAGATCCATAGTAGACCTTTCCATCTAAGGGCCCAACCTACCTTCTTAGGCTAGGCAAAAATATGCATATCATTCTTCATTTTCAGACCTAAGTCTAAAGGTTATTGTGCCCTTGTAAAACCATAAAAACTACAACACTTGTGAAGTGTTGCAAATGTCTTTCCCAAAGCCAAAGTATGAGTTGGATCGGTTATAGAGTCTTCTGACAACTCCATGTTTGAGATTCAACAAATGGATAAATGGGTTCTCAAATCAAGCAATAGTGGTGGTCCTTTCATGTCATAAAAAAAGTGGGACATGAGGACCATCTGAAATCAGATCAAGGGCGGCCCAGCACGCAGAGTCTTACACTGCAGTCCCTAATCGAGATAAAGGAAGGTGCTAAAGCTTTGATCATGCACATGCATCCTGATTGTCTTAGTGGTGAACAGGATTCATGTAGCCAATAGTTGGGACAAGGGTTTATGATGATGATGATGAGTAAACCTGATTGTCAGATGGTAATAGTCGTCTTTGATGTTTTGGATTGTTGACTTCCATATGTAGCTTTGAACAATTTGACTCAGTCGATGATAATATTTCTCATATTCTGTAACTATTTTGTTGAAATAATGATTATTGTTATCTTGCTAGAAAAGAGTATCTAACCATCGAGTATCCTAATACGAAATGGCTATCAGGTGCATAGCGTGTGTATTATTGTTAATACAGGTTTACCAGTGAAACGACTTTTGTGTATAAGAAAGAGAAATCCTACTAGAAATGATTTCATTGTAAAGATTTCTTAAGTATTACCAGAACATGATGACTGTGCTCTTCTTACAGTGGGGAAGTGAAGTCCAAAATCTAAAACCACACGATGACCCAAGTTAACAACGTAAGAAATGAAAGCCGTGAACTGCCAAAGCGCAGGTATCGTTCTACAGGTCAAGTCCCAGCGGATCTTGTGATCAATGAAAGAACCACTTGCAAAGAGCGTGGATGATGCATTATCTGAGCATGGAGCATTCCTTCCTGCAACGAGAAGGAATCGATTCTCTAGTGGATCTCCCGGATAATAACCCCACAATCCCTGAAAAAGGAGGAGAATTATGGCCTCTACAGACCAATACTTCGAAAGCTGAGAAGCAAATGCATCAATAAATCAATCTGCATCAACAAATATCTGCAACATGAAGTCCATGGTCAAACAATTTGTTAGAACAATACTTGTTGCCACTTTCATATTCAAGGATCAGAAAGGCATTCAATCCTCCTGTTTTTGGAAACCTGTATGTCAGAAAACAATGGACTAACAAAATTGCTACAGACCACTAACCTCCAGATCTGGTAAAGGATCGTATGTTTTCTTGTCTCTTACGTCAAACACTGTAATTCCTGTGATTTTCTGAACCCCAAGTCTAGTGGCAATCAGGTTCTGCAATAAAGAGAAAAGATCTTAACAAGAAGCACACAAAAACCTATTTAACAATGTTCTCTACGCACATAGACATGCATGCAATGTAAGCACCCAACAAATGCACTCAACGCTCTAAGTATCCAATAGCCCCAAGCTACAAGCATAGAAAAACATGTCTTTGTTTATCCCCTTCAAAAAGACATTAACACTAATTTTTTATCAGTAGTAACTTAAGAAAAACTCCAAATTCCAACTCCCAACTACTGGTTTAGAATGTTAAAACTAGTTGTAGCTCCTCACCAGGTTGAAATCTGTCGATCCAGATGCCTCCACCTTTGGTAGAACCTGCACATAGATGCCGATGTCAAAAATCACATGCCAAAACAAGATTTTAGTGCATACAAGTTTTAGAGGGCAGAAGAAAAGATCGCTTTGTATAAATGCAGTCTGAGGTTGTATCTACTACCTCATCTTGTCATACACTACATCTAAAGAACCATGTAAACCTATAAAAATTCAAATGATATTACATTCAGCAATTGTGACCATTCAACTGCTGAAATAGGTTCTATGCTTGACTTGATAGCATATAGGTCGTATAACTTGGTGATTAAAGTCTTACCAATTTCTGAAGTCCATTAACAGTAATAGATTTCTCATGGGAATTGCCTCCGGACATCCAAACTTCAAAAGGCCCCATTTCCTTGTCTGTCTGGTTTATGAGTTTCAAGTGTATCTGCAAAAGACACATTAGATCAACTTTCAAGTCATGCTAATTACTTGTTACTCTAGAAAAGTGACTATAGGGTCTAGTAATTCAAGATTAAAAAGCAAAAGAGGCAAATATTTCTTCTATACAATTTTGTGTTAATGATGGGATACACAACTTTCATGACATGTCTCATGTGGCAATTTCTAATCAACCCATTCAACCCACTCATTAAATAAGTGTCTGCTTTGGGTTTTCACTTGGCATGTTCACCAAAGGTTGATTCACCTAATGAGTGGAATTTAAATTTGTTGGGTTGGGTAACAAGTACCCTTTAGGCTATATTGCATGGGCACTTCAAAATGGATTATGATGCGGATTGATGTACCTGTGTTGGACAGATATAAATTTTGAGAGTAAGTTCCGGACACCTTAACCAAGCTGTGCCCATGTAAAATAACCATTGGAACCCAGTTATACAGGCAGGGACAGGATGAGTCCCAATCTTGCTCTCCACTAAGTTAGGCAATCCAAAGGGGTGAAGAAATTATTACCAAATAACATGTTAAGTCTATATCTATATCTGAACTACAATTAAAAGTAGGAACGAGCTAGTGAAACTTTTCTTTTTGACTAAAATACCCTATTTTTGAATTTGGTCCCTCTATAATTGTAAATGCAGAAAATGTAATTTGAACTACTACTTTTCACCGCACTCTATTCCCCCTCATTAAGTCTCATATTTAAGGTATCTACTCCCATTCTCTCTCACTGAATCCCATATTTAAGTTATTATTTCTCACCAATAAGTTCTACTAATTAGATCTATATCCATTACTTTTAACAATATAAAATCCATGCTTTTTAAAACCAACGCAAAAAACAAAACCTTTCTTCCATCTAGGTGGCAAGTAACCAATTCAACCATCTACTTCAAACGGGTCAATCCATGATGTTATACTTAAATAGTAAAATTTTTAAAATAGAAATAAATATAAAAGTATGTAGAACAATTTGGAGTTTTGGACACATTTCTAATATTTTATATCAATCATATTCAAGAAAAATAAATGTGATAAACAGTAACTGTTTTTATTGATAATGGAAATGAAATACAAAATCTAAAACCAACCCAAAAATGGAATTGTTTTACTGTTTGGTGGTGGGTCAACACAGTTCACCCTTTCAGGTCAAATATGTTACCCTTGATGTCATAATTAAATAATAAGAATTAAAAAAAAATAAAGGCACAAAAAATTATAAAAAATACAGGAGTTTTGAAGAAAATATTTGGGCACATCTATAATATTATATATTCATCAATCATCATTATTAAACAAAAATAAATGCGAGAAATGAGCATTACCTTTGTACACATAGGAATATAAAAAGTTGTACGAAAAAAATTAGACATATTATCATCATCATCATATCTAAAATTTCCATGTTCAAAGCACATCCACATTTGCTAGTTCTTTAATAGTAAGGTTTGGGTGGGTGCTGGTTAGGTGTGAGTTCAGAGGGGGTGTGGGTTAGGCTACTCCTGATTAGGATAAATGTAATGGGTGGCTTGTATCTCAATCCACTTCTAATCCACCCAAAGTCCCAAACTTATCCAACTGCCACCCTACAGACACCCTTTGATCATATGATTCTTAACCATCAAATTAACAAAATTATATATCTGTATCTAGACCTAAATAATGTCAGTTAATTTGTGTAAAATGGGCATATATTCATGATGACCCTTTAACTGGGAGTAAATAGACGGACCATTATATTGATTCAAAGATAAAGTGGAAATCTTATAATTATAGTATCAAATAATTAAAAACCCTTAAAATGAAGGCATCAGAAAAGTCACATTATGATCCACTTCAAGTAACCCCGTGAGCACAACAATACCCATGGTAATATGATGAAAATAGTTAAGGAGAAATTAGAAAACAAAATTTTAGATGTAAATTTGGAAATTTCAGAATTTCAGATAACAAAAAATAAGAAAAAAAGACATTGTCCAAACCTTGGAAATATGCATTCATATTTTGGATAAGTTAAGCAAACAAGAAGTGCTCAAAAGAAATTAAAAAAATCTCATTCACAATATGACTTGCACAAGGATTAATTCTAAAACTGAAATAATATATATATATATATATATTCTAAAATACCTAAAAATGTGAAAAAACAAAAAAGTGATAGGGCTGCACAATCAACCTTAACCACGAAAACTCATCATTATTTCAAAAAAATTAAAAAAAAAAAGGACCCATGCAGTCCAACCCTTAAGTAATCCAATCTAGGGATCTTGGGCATTTCGGGAGCTCCAAGTAGCTCACATGTGGCCCAATTTATGGTCCGGAGAGATGTCCTAAACCTGCAACTGAGATTCCAGAGGTGCATGTTTATCTGCATCCTACAAGTTATTGAAAGAAAACATGATGTGTATTGAAGTCTCAAGTTAATTAGGTTGTAAACTCATATCTCATTATAACCCAAAAATTGTCTATGGAGTGAAGTATTACCAAAAAGGGCATCCCTGAGATGGTTTTGGATGGAACCTCCACAAGCTGTAATTCGATCTCTTTGTGCGAAATTGGCTACAAAAGGAACAAATTAATCTTTTTGAGATGTGAACCTCCAATGAACACAAGATATGGCTTACATGCATGAAAGATGGAGAAGAGAAATAAATACATACATATGTAAATACATGCATACATATTATATATGGAAAATAAGAGTAAATGCATAGAGATATAATTCCAATTACAACTACATCATTTTAGCGGTGTACAAGACCATGAGGGATCTCTTATAGAAAAATCCTTTCATTCACAGGTGGAAGAAGTCTTGCACAAATATGAATAACTACCTGATCCTACTAACATTATGGTAACTAGTAAGGATATGTAAGGGCATTCACTTCCATATAATTAAAGAGGGCTTTTTATTGGTCTCTGTCTCTGAACATTTCACTTTAATTTGTGCTAAGCTGGTGCCATAAGGATGTGTCGTATTGCATAGTGGAAATATCTCATTCATGAATAAACAGTACTAATATACTTTTTTCATCAAAAAAACAGTACTAATATACTTTTAAGTTGTAACAAAGGCCAATAAGGATTACATAAATTTATGAAAAAGATATGTATATATATATACATATATATATATATATATATATACACTGACAATTTTAGATAGCAATAACAATTTCAGTGATTCACTTAGTTGATGTTTCTACACAAATCTAAAAATCATTTTTCGTATTCCACTAAAACAAAAATGTTAAAATGCCTCCATAGAAAATTTAAAATCAATGATTTTATAAAGTCTGGTATAGAAATAGTTTTAAATAAAATAATATAAATAAATAAAAACAAAAATAAGAGGTAGAAATGCTTAGAAAGGAAAGAAAAAAAGCAATGTAATATGTAGTAATGTCATTAAAATTAAAAAAAAAAAGGTCACAACATACTCTTATAAAATTGGAATCAATCAGAACTATATTGCTGCTTGTTTCTTTTTTGTTTGTTTTCCTTAGTAAAATGGCATTTTGGCTTATTGGTTGGAGAAAGAAGAGAATAGAAGTTTGGTCTTCTTTGAAGAAAAAAGAAGTTAATGACATGGGGATTAAAAACACCAAGCAACATGGGCAGGATGTTTAATTGTTTGTTAGGTTCAGTCTGGGAAGAGTGTAAAAGTGTAAATACAAATATGTACAGTACAAATTAAGATTTAGAAACACCATATTCAAGGTTTTGCACTGTACATATTTGTATTTGCACTGTTCCCAAACTAAACCTCAATGACATATTGCTTTTATTTCTTCTTTTTTCTAACTTTTTTACTTATCTCTTTCTTTAATATTAATTTGCCAGGCTTTTTTCTCTTGAATATTGTTAAAATAGTTAGCAAGAAATTAACAGTTAAAAAAAATAATCAGAAAAAACGAAATGGAGTGTCAATTAAAAATGGAAGCCTCAAAATTTAGCATATATTATTTAGTAGTAAGTAATAGCATACTTGGTAAGTAATAAAGACGAGTACTACATATTATAATGTGTTTGATAAGAGAAGTCTAGGTTCCTCTTGTAATGCAAGAAGTATTGAGGGGGTTGTGCCTAGTGTAAGACAGTGGAATTTATAAAAGTATATTAACTCGGTTGACCTGGCATGAACCCGAGTGTTAGAACATTCTAGAATATCAATTGAAGGGTAAAAACAGGTAAAAACCCAAATATAAGAAAAATTTAGAATGTATGAGGCCCAAAGACATTATAAATAAAGGCCCCATAGGCCATACCCATATGGGGACCCAACACCAATACATTCAATACACCCAAATATCCTCAATAGACCCATTATGGGAGAGAGCCCCATATTCTCTCTCCTCATCCCCCCCCCCCTGCAACCAACCATTGACATTGCTTCCATGGCTATCTTTCTCAAACCTTCAGAGTCAGATCATGAGTGCCAAATCTATTAGCTTACACCTAGAGGTTTATTAAAATACCTAGAATCTAGGTGTGAACTTTTCAGGAACCACATTTTTTTATAGGTAAAAGGAAAAAAAAATGAATACAACCAAGCAACAGGTGTAAAAGATAACACCCCACAAACACACCAGAAAAACTCCCACCCAAACTAAAACAGACTTCAGCAGAAGAAGCTCAAATGAAACCAAACTTGCAATAATACATTAGAAGCAAATAGGCTCCAACAAAGTTCAATTAATCTTCAACCTCTCCAAACTCTTCCCAACCTCCTTCCTCTTCCTTTCAAAGGCTTCAAAAGATTTCCTAGCAAAATTCTCCCCTCCTAAAAAGAATGAGCCCAGGGACTTGCCAATGTTCTAATATGTTCTCGTAGTTGTGATAACTGCAGGTTCAAATTTTTTATATACTGGTTCAAGAAAAACACTGACATGTATCCAAGTAGAACTGGAAGATGACAAATAAAATGCACATCCACATCCAATGAAAACAAAGAAAAATATCTATAAATGGAATGTTGTATATAAAATGTAAGTCCATGAAACCATATCCAAAAGAGGAAAGAAAAAAATGAAAAAGAAAAGAACTTATTCCTCAAAAACAGCATCATTATATGTTATAATTCCATAAAGAATGAAGTACCATTTCAATATAGAAAAAGAATATGAACTTACACTGCCAAGAATATGTTGTGTTTGTAGCCTCCCAGGTTCACCCAAATTGGCACGCCATGTAATTTGAAACTTACCAAGGATATTACTTCCCTCAACTTTCACTTGTTCAGATCCATGCGAGGACATCCTCAACTGATAGAGATAATTGTAAATTCCTCCCCCAGATCTAATGAGAATGGGTGGCTTAAATATCTCTCTGTCAATTGATATAATTGGAAGATTGACAAGAAGATATTTATATCAATTTTATGTATAATCAAATAATCACAAGGATAATAAAGAAAAGCATATCCCAGCCACACTTTAAGTGAAATCTGCAAGTAAATCCAAAAAAAAAAGAAACATCTGTGCCACCTGGTTTGACAATTGATCTCTGAATAGTGCTCATCAGCTTTCAATATTGTTGTGCTCCAGTTCTGAGCTGGCTCAAAATCAACTTGATCCATGTAAAGGTTTGATTTTGTATGGTTTTCAATGCAGGCTTCCAAAAATGTATTGTCCTGGGAAGGAGATCACAACTATCTTAAGAAAGATGGATTAGGATATATGGCAGCACTAGATTTAATTTTCTAGGATTAAACATCCAGATAGCATCCACACAATTGAACTATCTATGCAATAATCATAATCCAAGACAGAAGGGACATAAACCAATGAATTAGGCCCATCAATTATTAAACTTTGACATGATTGGACTGGAAGAGTAATTGTACCAAAATTCAGTTGCCAAGTTGGACTTTGATTCAAATAAAAACAAAAAACTTTATAACATAGTCTTGCCTTTTGAGCTTTATACCTGATCAATTGATTTCTGAGGCTTTACCTCTCAACGTTTTTAAATTAAGAACAAAATGAAAACTTGGAACCAAAAATAAATAAATTAATTAATTAATTAAAGGGGACAAAGGAGAAGATGTGGCTCAAAATAAAGAACCAAGGCCAGGACAAACAACTGCATTAATATTCTGATACTGCAGCCAAGCCTAGAGCCACTACTTTTTGCAAGACCATTGACTCTCAGTAACAGATTTTGGCATTTATATGCTAGAGCTTGAACCTAGACATGAGGGGCACTTGGAAAAACATTCTAAAATCTGGAGCCTTTAGAATATCCAATCTGTTAAATACATATAATTTCAATTTCTAAGATTGATCCTTCTTGGTGGATTCTAGGACTGATCATAGAATCTGTATAGAATATGAAACAATTGCCTGAGATTCTCACTAGAATCTAACTTTTGATAGAATCTAGATTATAGAATGCTACCAAGTACTAAATAGCTCCTTGGTTTTAGAACTTATTTGGTAGGAAATTGTCCTAGAAGTAGTTTTGTCAGAAAATTTTATGAACGTGTCCAAGTGCTAATTTGTCAAAAGGTTGTAAAATAAATGTAACAAATTTTGAATAAATATTTCATTGCCATTTTCCTTTTCTTTTGTTTGATGATCTCTCCATGCATCTAAAGTGCTAATCCTCAACAACCTTATCTTTGGTGCCAGCTAAGTCAAGGCTAAAGAAATACACAGCAGGCACCTGGGCTGCCTCACTATGCTGAGATAGAATTGTTCTTTCTGCATTCATCCATCACAGTGAGTTTGGATGGCGCACCCGAGAGAGTAGTCAAAAGGTGCATCCATTTGATTGTATATTGGATTGGCTTTCTACGCTGGCTTCTCCAACTTGATTCTTCTCTAAAGACTAGGTTAAGTAGCCTCCCACCAACTCAATGGATGGAGAGAAGCACATAAACAAAGTTTTTTTTTGAAAAAGGTAAGGTAAATATTATTAAAGAGAACCAGAATACAGAATACAATTGGCCCCTCAACATAACTGGGGCCTAAAACCAAGAATACATTACAAGATATCATCAGCCATCAGCTGGGCTCCCAAGACCCTTTATTGAACCCCTTTTCACAGCAGCAGTCCAAGAGACTAACTTCCCAAAAGTAAAGGAGATTAATTGATCCACTCCACTATGCTTAATTCTTGAAGATTCTGCTGTTTCTTTCCACCCAAATGTTATTGATTACTGCAGCAGGGATAGAGGACCATACACTTTTTGCTACCTTGGACAGACCTCTTTGATCCCAGCACCATGGTAGGTCGCACACAGTCGCTGGCATAGCCCAATGGAGATGCCAGAGGGACAAGAGGTGGTTCCAGATTGTAGTGGAGACAGAACAGTGCAGAAATAGGTGGTTACTATCTTCTTCCACTTGATTACAAAACACACAGGACAGATCATGGAGCATGATTCCTCTCACCAGATTCTTTTTGGTGAGACACTTGTTCAATGCCATGGCCCAGAGTAAAGCACTTATCTTTGAAGGGACAACCTGACTCCAGACTTTTTCAGCAGGAAACTCAGCTTGAGAACCACTTACTAGGTACCTGGCAAAGGAGTTAACAGAGAATACACCATCATTACTCCAATTCCAGTTCCAGGTATCTTCTTCCACAAGGTTCTGGTTGGAAAACAATTCCAACAAATTAGAAACAAGGTCCAGCTCCCAATCCTGAAAGTTTCTTCTAGAAGAAGGGCACCAAACTCGGATGTTGTCTCGGATCTCACAGCAGTCAGCCACCAAGCCATCTTGATTCTCTGCAATCTGGTACAACTGAGGAAACAATTCAGCTAAAGATCTGCTATTGCACCAAACATCCTTCCAAAACTTTACCCTCTGTCCATTTCCCAGCTTAACCGAAAGACCCCTATTTATCAGAGGGAAGACTTCCATGATTACCTTCCAGATGGAGCACCCCAGATAGGTCACCGAGGCAGATCTTTAGCCAACTGGCACTTCAACCACTGAAGTGCATAAACAAAGTTGGATGTTACTTAGGTAATGCCAACTGGCACTTCAACCACTGAAAATATGCTTATAATAATTATCGACCGATGAGGTAGTTTGTGGGTTAAATGTTTAAAAGTATTTACAGAGGCAAAAGAAAGTTTGCAGAGGGGAAACACAATGCTTGCAAGATACACACAAGACGTATTGCGTATGTGTATGTGTATGTGTGTGTCTGTGCATGGAGAGAGAGAGAGAGAGAGACCTTTAGTTATTTTGCTAAATTTCTAACACCAAAATCGAGAAGAGAAAGATTGATCTAAAAATAATCGAGAAGAGAAAGTTTCAATCAGTGTTACCAGGACATTTGGAAATTAATGGGTCTAGCCATGCCAACACTTGGCACTGGGCATGATACTTGTAGAATCATAATGAAGGCATCTCAGTACTTCGCATTCATAAACATGGTATCATGTGCAGACACACAGTAAGGAGCCAACATAATTTTAATGTTTTCTTTATCTTCCTGGAGTACATTGAATTTTTTTTTTTTTTTCGTAACTTAACATTTATTTTATTGGCATGTTCCCATGACACAAATTTTTTAGGTTATCATGCCAGACAATGTGGACATCTGAATCCCTGGCATTGATGCCATGTATCAAGGTAAAAGTGGTTTTGAGGGAGGGCATGGAATGTTTTCAAGATATCTGGTTGGTTATTCAGTCCCCAACCAAGGATCTGTGATCTTCATTTGAAGCATATCTAAACATCCAATACATGAAATAATGATCATGTTATCTATACACAATCGACATGACAACTTAGAAATAAAATATACTCAAGCTGATCTTGTCTACATAGTTTGGTCCACACAGTCTAACATATTCTAGACATTGATCCTCTTATTTTTCTACTTCTAAATATAAATGTAAAGAAAAAAAATCCTATACCTGTATTTGTTTTAAGATTAATTAGCAGAAATTTTCATACTGAAAAAAAAGATCAATTAGTTTTATGACCAGAAGACGTGAACTTACTTATTGGCTTATATGCAATTTCAAGTGCAACTGCTCAACTCAGTTGTTTCTTATCCCTTCTAATCTATCAAGTAAAACATATGCTGTTTATTTAGTTTCTATTCTTGGAATAAGGCATGACTCACTCTCCCAAATTCAATTCATGAAATACACTGAATATGGTGTCCAGTAATAGTATATGTGCAAAAGCTCTTATAAAGCAGGTGATGTGTGTGTATAATACCCATTGGTACTTACACTCAATGAACCAGCAAGGACCTACCTTGACAGTACGAACCTGCACAATGAAAACTTTGTATCATTAAATGGGAGAACTCACACAAGGAATGATAATAGATGGACACATAACAGAATGTTTAAAAACAAACTTTCAAGTATCTGTTTTTTTTTTCAGGAATCAATTATTGGTTAGTCCAATATGTACCAGATTAGCAGCAAGCCATAAAAACTCAAGGGTGGTACCTTTGTTCTGACAGAAAGTGGGTTTGCCACAATGAACTTGAAAAATTGTGGAAGATATTTGCGCTCACCATCATTATCATTGTATAGAGCAGTGCAAACCAGCCTAAAGATTGCATGCAGAGATAGCATAATCAATTTGTAGATAAATAAAATAGATGTATATTGCTGATAAAAAATAAAATAGATGTATAAAACAGTGGAAGATTTTAATCATCCATTCCCATACAAGACTTACGTATGAGCCCCAAGCTCCTTGACATCATGTTCCACAATGAAATCATACCGCCCCCCTGAGCGTATTGATTCAACAGGTGATTTTGAAGTATCCAATAACAGTATACGCTGCCTCTCTGTTTGAATTTCTGCCTGCATTTAGTCACAGACATTTAAAGCATAGAATCATAGTTATTCGAATGAAAATAATATTACTGTTGGAATTTAAACAAATCAAATAAAGATAATAAATATTTTATTGATATGATATCGTAAAACCCCTGCTTTGTGTATATTTAAGCATAGACACTAACTAAATGGCTAACAAACTTACAAGGGCATCTCCTGTCACTCTGCAAATAAATAAGACAGTTGCTTACTTGAGCAAAAGAATACAAACAACTCTCAAAAGTACAAACCACACCAACAAGATGAACTGTCCAAGAATGATTAAATGCAAGGCCAAATCCGGTCGTAAAAAACTGGATAAAACCTACATCTTTAATCTCTTTCTTGTCAATGTAGGGCTTAGTGACTTGGGACATGGTTGAAATGTAAACAGATTCTGTTGTTATTTGTACCCTTTTCCTGGTTAACCACCATCCTTAAACAGAACCCCTCCTCCTGACACTAATTGGCTTATGGGTAAGAGTGTATCTTGTGGAGTTCCCTTGTATCTTGACTTCTATTATTTATGAAAAGAAAAGGCTTGATAAGGGAAAAAGAACCAAAATAACCAGACCGAGCATGCCCTTAAGGTTCTGCAGCAGCCCTTCTATTAAAGGCAAGAAGAAGGACAGAGAAGTTTGCATGTTTTCTCTCCTTTCTTTTTCCCTTTTATATTTTGCATGTAAAATGTACAAGTAGTGTGTTAAATGCAAAAAACCCATACAGCTAGATACAATTATATGCTTTCAGCCCATATACACCATATACAACTAACCCTCATGTTGATAATAGAAATGGCACTCTCCCAATTGTTACAAAATAGAAAAAAAGTTAAATCTACTAAAATCTGATGAAATTGATGCCAAAAAGATATGGTGAGTTCTAGCTTGCTGATAACCTATCTTAACATCTTTTCCCTCCGAAATTCTGTAGTTTATCTCCCTCCATATACACAAACAAACAGCAAACTGTGTCAAATTCCAGAAGATGCAGCTCTATTTGCTGAAACCTTCCACCAGCCATGGCCCAATTTAACATCCTAGGTCCCTTCCCCTTGGTATGAAACTATATCATCCAAATAACTTGACAAATTGGTCCATAGCTTAGATATAAAATTTGCAATGGAAAAGATGAGACACTGATTCTGGTAACAAACCACAAAAATAGCATTTACTCTTTAAACCCCATTCCCTCGATATGAGAAGATGAATTATTAGGATCTTGATGAGGTGGACCGTCCAAATGAAGAAACACACTTTGATGAGATAGGTGGGGACCAAATCCACCACAATGGTATAGAGCATCTCTCCTCACCCCAATTAGCATGTCATAGAAAGATATAGCCAAGAACAAACCATTAGGGTCTAGTTCCCATACTAATTATTTCTCAGACAGCTCCTTCGATTCATCACTTGATCATTCCAATAAAAAAATTATTGATAAAAAAATTCCAATAAAAAATCTCATGCCTTACTTATCTTCCAGTTCCTTTACCGAAGACTTCTTACTAAATCTTAAATCCTTTAACCTCTCTCATCATCACCATCATCATGGTAATGTAACTTATACATTAAACATCGAACTTAGATTAAGCAGCTTGTTGAGCAATTACATATAGTGCCATTGCTTCTTTAAAATGGTGAGTATTATTATTACAATTTACAATCAACAAACAGAAACTAAAATCGGCAACTTATCTACTACCAAATTGTGGGAGAAAGAAACACGAAAAAAAAATACTATCTTGTTTTGATCTGTTATGAAGAGGCATAGTCACCTTAATCATAACGTCCTTGACTTCGAAATTAGAACTGTTATTGATGCTGATATAGCTGCAGAAGGTCTCCCCGAGATAAATTGCTCTGCTGATACAAATTATGGAGACATAATCTTCAGAACTTAATTAGATTGATCAACAAGAAACGAGAGAGAGAGAGAGAGAGAGAGAGAGACCCAAAGGATTGGGGGAGGACGAGGAAGCCTGGGATGCCCATGGCATCAGTGGGATTCTGGAGCTCAAAGCGGTTGCGATAGGTGAGATCGGCTTCGCCAGATTTGTTAGTGCTGGCTTTGCTGCGACTGAAGAGGCGAGGGAGATGAGAGGCGGCACTGGGGTCATCGAAGATGTCTTCTCCTGTAAGGAGATCGAGAGGGTCGAGCTGGAGGGGATTTTCGACGTGGAATGACGGCCTGCAGAGGCGCATCACCCTGAACGCCAGGGAGTGTGATCCCGCTGTGGCGCTCATGTCTCTCCACTTCCTCTTGTCCCAATCTCTCTCAATTCAGGTGCAAGCGGAAGCCGATGGAATAAGAATGGCCGCTGTTCTTTTGTTATGTTTATAGCCTTCCCTGAATTCCTGTTCCGTTCCCTTCCGAATTTGCTTTTACTCCGTCTAAAATGCAGGGTTTCCTCCTTTTATCCAATGAAATGAAAGAAACCCATGAAAGCGGGATAGTTTATATACCCACGTGTCATTCAGATTTCAATTGACGGTAGCCAGGGAGGGGTTTAGTGGTTACTGCCTTACTGGTTAGCGACTTAGCCATGTGTGTGTGACTGCCGAATTCCGTGACCGTCGCCGGTGACGATGAATTTTGGAGGAGACCGTGAGACCCGACTATGTCGCCGAAGAAGTGGGTTTTCACCGAACCCTATATTTTTGCCGCTTCGGCTCTAATAATAATCGTCGAGAGATTTTCTACCAAAGACAAGATATGTAATTGAGAGTTGAACAGGTACATGAAAAGCCCTAGACTAGATGGAGACCACAACAGGGTCCGATCCATTAATCGATTTAAATTGCAGACTTGCAGTTGACTTGACTAAATACGTTGCAGGCGTTACCGGTTTAAGACCGTCAGATCTTTTAGCTGAATGTGATGAATGTTTAAGGGGCTGTGTAGTTTGTAACCAATAAGATAACGCCAGGACGGCAGGACTTGTTCACGGTAGGGGATCGAATTTGGATCGGATAATATGACCCGATCAGAAATCAGATCGAATCTGGATCACCCCTATCCGATCCGACATGTATATTCCAAACCCCTATCTGTGGAGATGGAGATGGGGATAACCTTGTCCCTGCTAGGGAGTGGCTCCCCATCCATGCGCTACCTCATTGCCATTCCTATTCAAAACCCTTATTTATGTGAAGCAAATGGGCCTTAATATTATTGGCTGCAACTTATTTGAGAAATTTCAAACCCAAATCCACCAGCCTAAAATTATGTTCAAACCCGATATAAAACAAGTCGGGCCAGCCAGCCCATCAATAGGTCCCACAAAACATTCAATATGCATTTATTTGAAAATATCTATTTTAAATATTTATTGTTTTTCTTGTTTAGTTAAACATCGGTTTAAACATTTTTTACTTTCCACCTCATATTAATACCCTATAAAACATGTCACATAAGCATTTCATTTCAAAAAACATTAGAGCGTTGTGACAAACAAGAATTGGACATTTCAATAAATGCCAGGAACCACGTAACCATCAAGTTCATCACCCCGAGTTCGTGTTAGAAAAGGATTACAGCAAACCCTTCTTTGCTTTTTAAGTTTTAACCGCTCAGTCATGATGATGATGAATCGAGGCGGGGCCAAGTTTTCCTAGGGTTATAACAGCAATTTGAATTTTGAACTGCCCGGTCAGAACACAACATGAATCGTAAGGATTTTGGAGACCTGAGATAGCACCAGAATGATTTTGTCCAGAATCAGATTGTAGTAAAGATTTGGATTGGATTCTACGTACATATTTTATAGTTGATTGATGCATCCAATTCTACAATCCACCTACAACCCATTCAGGGTTTCTTTCCATGCTGGGATAACCATTTTTATTTTTATTTTGAATTAACCAAAAAAAGATTATAAGCACATTGGCTTGATTCTTGCTTTTGCAATCCAAAATTCCGTATCAACACTTTCACGTAACAAGAAAGGCAACTGGATTGATTTTTATTCAACTCTTTTTTTTTGTTTTTGTTGGTCTCAATGGATTCTTGGCTGTATAGCCCAACAATTAATTTGGCATGTCTCATAGGGTTAAAATTAACCCTTTCATCACCAAGTTCCGATCAATTGCCATCTCAAGTTCTCAACTGGGAGCCGTTGGAAACCTCATCCCCCACAAATCTTGCATATCAACAATGGAAAACTAGAAAAGAATGATGGTAGACTCAAAGCTAACAATTTTATGCAAATAGATCAAAAGCCCTCCAGCACCAGGTGGTCCTCTATTCTCCACATTTTCTTTTTAGGAAGCCAGTTTCAGGCCCAAAGCTCCTGGTACATATCCAAGCTAAGCTTATTTTTCAAGCAACTTTTCAATAAATCATGGGACTGAGGGTAGATATGGCCAGTGGAAGCAGACCCAGGGATACTTAGATCATGTAGCCAAGAACCTTTTATTAAATCAGAGGGTTTCTATCTAAATGCAGGCTTATGTTATACATAGGATAAAAGATACAACAAAGCAATGTCAAATGAAGAGTCAAATGTTAATAAGTCAGCCATGCATCTGCATCTAAAACTCCACCACACAGACTTGGAGATAATTTCCAAATAATTTCATCTGGTTGGTGAGAGGTGTGGGGAGAGAGAAAGAGTTTTCACCTTCTTGAGAGGTTATACCTTGAGGATCCATGAAACAAAGGGTGAATGTTCCTGGAAAAATTGGACAAGGTTCCTAAACATTCAGAACAGCACTGCAAAATCCTCAAGTTGGTTCTAATAGGCACAAAACTGCTGGTCCCCTGCAGGTATGCTCAACTTTAAAGCAGAATCCACTTAACATCAAGTCTACCCTGTATTGACAGGAGAATTCCCCTCTGATACCAATTTGAAATTAGAATGGCAGAACCCTTCTTAGGCCACTGTATAAATTTAGATCTATGAGTTCTGTCTTCCTCACTAATAATTCAAATACAAGAAGCCATTAAAGATGTAAGAATGAATTGGAGAAGCAAAAGACCATGGAAGAGATAGGTTTTGGCTGTGATCAAGGTAATGTGCAAATGTAGATCACATTGAGAATTTAGACCATGACTGCTCACACACCCTTTCGCCCCAATTAGAACTTTTGATTTCTTTGCTTCCTTCTTAAACGCTTGTAGAAGCACCACAGCAGTTGTGAAGGGGTTTCAGATGATGAGTCCTCTTCTAAATTTTATAAATGACTAAACAATCTTAGAAATGAGCTGAGAGGAACAAGATCGGGCATCATTCATCTCCTGTATAAATATCAAACTGATAAAACTTCAGCTGGAAGAACTAAAAAGATTGGTGGATGTCACCTTTTTTCCCTCATACAAAGCTGGACCTAATTCTACCACTGTCAATAAGTTCCGAGGCAGGAAATACCAGCACAGAATCACCCATTGATTTAATCAGCACATTAACTAATAACAATAGTGATACTTAAACAAGTAGATATGAAACAAGGGTGAGGTATGGAACAGGAAACGGAGGAAAACCCCAAATTTCAAAAAAAGAAAGGGCCAGGTAGGGCAAAAAATAATTTGAACTTCTCTATTTCTTCTTGCCTTTGCCAGCAGCCTTGCGCTTGCTGGGGAGGACGATCTCACCATACTTGAGCACCGGAATCTCCATGATTTGGGAGAGCTCGCCGAACCTTTTACGGAACTTCTCGACCTGATCGGCATCGACGACCATGGCCGAGCGGTTGCCCAAATAGAAAGGATTGTTGCCAGACCATACGTCCACCACATACTCCTTCTGGGTACCACCGGTTGTCATAACAAGCTCCCCGTTGCAGTACACCTTCGCGTCCTCATAGAACTCCGGGTGTATATCCTTCTTCCTGCACGTCCACTGCGGGGATCCACTGCTGGTTCCCGCACCACTCTTCACCTGAACAAACAAACAAATAAATACACTGTCAATTTCTACAGAAACACCGCTAGGTTTAAGGTAGGAACAGATTGGGTTCCTCTCGGAATTCAATCACCTTGACGGGGAGGACGGAAGGGGAGGGTTTCCGCTGGAGGAAAGTGTTGGATAGAGCTAGCGCCATTTCTTCCTTTCTTCTGCAAAATTTCTGGGAGGAGAGGAGTCTTATCCTTCTCCGGGGGCGTAGCAGTTCTTTGAGAAGTGAAGAATAAGATAACCACTTAACTTACGTAATTATCCCTGACTTTTCAGTAAAATCACGATTATACCATTGGTCGTTCCGTCAAATCGTCAAATCGTCAAATCCACCACCACCACCGGCTTCTGTTCTGTTTGGACTTTGGAGACAGTCTTCTCGGGTCGAGTGGCTGGACATGAGCTAATCGGTGTGCAACAAACCCGATGATCATATCGGGCAACCGTAGACCCGATCCATTTGAACCCCACGTATGCGTTGCCACTCGCTAGAATTCCTATAAAATGCACAGAGAAACCATTGCTAGGGTTTTTCAAGGCAAAACTTCGTGAGCCTCTCTGTTCCTCCTTAGAAACTCTTCACAACTTCAAATCGGATGGTGGGCACTTTCGTTTCTGATCCTTATTTTGCCAGTCTTACTCTGTTACTGGCCAGTTTAATGGTTCCAGTAGATTTGGCTAAAGAACTGACCCTAACGAACTTCGTTGTTTTGTTTTCAGGCGCCAAAGAAGGAAAAGGCTCCCCCTCCATCTTCTAAGCCCGCTAAATCTGGAGGCGGTAAACAGAAGAAGAAGGTTAACAAAATCCTGGATCTTTACCTCTCTTATACATGATCTCTTCTGCTTATTTATTTATCTTTTAGATCTTCCAAAATTTTTATATTTCTGGAAGGTTTGCAGCAGTTTTTCGTCGTTGGGACTGGATTTGGTTTTAGATCTTTTGTTTGATTTCCTTGGTTTAAGAGTTGGGCTTTCTCCGTTTATTTATATATTTGTTATTCCTATTTTCTTAATACAGAAGTGGAGCAAGGGAAAGCAGAAGGAGAAGGTAAACAATATGGTGTTGTTTGATCAGGCCACCTATGACAAACTTCTCTCCGAAGCACCCAAATACAAGCTCATCACCCCTTCCATTCTGTCGGACAGATTGAGGGTAATGCATAATTCCATCTATCAATTTTTTTATGCTTTCCTATCTTCTGTTAATTATCTAACTTTCTAGATTTATTAGTTCTGGTTATCAGTTTGTGCATGACTTGTATATTGTTCGGTCGAGTTAATAACTGTGATTAGTATTTTACCAAGTTCATGTAGCTTCAATGTTATTGTGCTGCTATGGTGCAAGGTATAGGGTACAATTAATTTACATTACATGAAGCAGATAAAGTAACTGAGAAAGTTAATACATATGGAGGTTTATGTCGGATATGATTATTGGAGTCCTTGGTTTTTGCTCTATTTCCATCAAACGTCTTGTAGGGTTAATGAACCATTCTTTCGAGTAATATAGAAAATTCAAGATTAGACTAAGCTATTTTGGAGGTATACTAGAACCTCTGTCCTTTGGAGTGCATATGCAAGGGAGTAAGAATTTTTGACAACAAATCAGGGTGTATTTGTCAAATAGAAAACAATAATAGCAACTCAATGAGTTTTGACAAGAGAAGGGTTCAAGGGACTTATTGTGGACTCCATCAATACAGGTTTGCAAGCAGTTCCACATTCTGCTCCACTAAGGCAGTAAAGTGGTCAACGGTTCAGTTTTGAGAACCACTTTGATCAGGGTAGAGTTAAGACATGTGAGGATAATAATGGAAAATTTAACCTATCAGAAAAATAATAATGGAAAATTTGTGATGGTAAATCCTGGATCAATTGGGGAAACTACCTTAAAGCAGAAATTCTGTGTTAAAAGGGTGCTTAAAGCTTGTGTAACCTTGCAATTAAATTAGATTGGCCGCTAGTATAAGGGGACTGAGGAATTGTAAATAGTTTGATGGCATTGAAATGACTTTCTATGAGTGGTCAGTTGACAACCTTGCAATTAGACTGGCTGCTAGTATAAGGGGACTGTGGGATTGTAATTAGTTTGATGGCATTGAAATGAATTTCTATGAGTGGTCAGTTGACAACCTTGCGATCTTCTTATTTAGGAGTTTTTTGGGATGAGAATGGGGAAAGTACAATGGTATATTGTATTCTGGACGAACTGAGAGTTCAAGCAGAAATTCTCTCTGTTAAAAGGTGTTAAATGTTAGACTCCCTTAGCAATTTGATAATGGATTGTCTGCTAATATAATATGTTTTGGTGTTGTAATTGGTTGAATGGCTTTAAATACAGATGGGTATTGGGGCTTTCATGCATCTCATTAGAATCTAAAGCATCGACCTCTATATTGAACAGCCCATTCAAGTGGACACCCAGAATAACTAATGCTCATGCCGATAATTTTAGCAAGAGAGAGCCTAGAATTGGCTGACTCAAGTTGGGGGGGTCTTTGACAATGAAGACCATCTGTTTTCGCATAACTGTGTTTTACTGTAACAGTGCTGACTGATGTTCTATGTCTCAAATCTTCCAAGGTTGAGTTTGAGGTAGAGGTTCCATTTTTGTTATTGTCAATTATTCTCTTCAAATCAGTATTAATTGTCCAAAAAGAAGTCACTTTAATGGATATGCTTGTGCCCCCCTAATATTTGTATTTTGTATCCCATAATTCATCCTTTTATTGGGATGAATTGTTTTTCTTTTGTTATTAAATTGGGATATTAAGAAAGCTTGAATGGGGAACAAATAATGAAAATATTGAAGCAGCTCGTTTTTTGGGAAAATGGATATCTGATTAAACGTAACTCCTTAAGATTTTCGGTCAATAACGTATTAATTTGTCTGTTTTTTGTTTTGTTTCACCAAAAGACAGATCTGTTCTGTCCCAAATTAACTGAGACATGTTGCTTTTCTCCATAATCTACTAATGCCACATGTATTTCTATTTAACTATTGTATACAGTTATCATTCATTTATTTGTGTCATTCTCAGATCAATGGGTCACTTGCACGGAAGGCTATCAGGGAATTGATGGCAAGAGGTCTTATTAGGATGGTATCTGCCCACGCAAGTCAGCAGATTTACACTAGGGCAACCAATACCTAGGTGTTCCATCTTTATTCTGTTATATGTTCTGGATATTGATGATTAACTTAATACCAAAATTTTTATGTTGTCGTTTTTGTTGAGACAAATACAATGTCCGCCTTATTAGACAATGTTTTTTTTGGGTGCTTAGACCTTTGTTAGATTATGTTGCATTGATGGAAATTTTGACAGTAATTTTATTCTAGTGTTGGAGAATTTGTTGTGCGGTTTTGGATTTTATGGTCTTTTGGTATCAAGACAGTAATACGGTGATTTTTTTTTCTTTTATTCCATATAGGGATGCCTGTTGGGTCGGAGGTGATGTTTCTTTTTCTTTCTTTATTTATGTCCATGTTTTGCCAATATAGTCTATTAGCGAAATTGTACATGTGGCCTGTGGGAATCTAGGCACTCAATATTCCTGTTTGCTACAGTGGCTCTTATAAACTTGTAGTAATCCCATAAACCATTATGGTAGCCAAGAGGTAACGGTGATATAAATGGGTATAGGACTTGAATACTTAAAAGTTTTAAATTTTAAATGGGTATAGGTCTTGAACTAATACTTGAAGTTTTAAATTTTAAATGGGTATGGGTCTTGAACTAATACTTAAAGTTTTAAATTTTAAATTATTCTCTTGAACTCTAGATTAAATTTGTCCTTGGTTTTGCCAATATAGTCTAAGATTCAAAGTATCTGAAATGAAATATGTATTAGAAAGATGATTTTAAGAAATGCATTGGGATGTGTTAATTAAGATACGTATAAATATGTTAGGAAAATAAAATAAATCATAAAAAAATATATAATTAACAATAATTACAAGTTTTATATGATTTTAAATAAGTCATTTAGATGTAAAAGTCCATAATTTAATGTTTATATAAAATGTGACATATTGAGATATAATTAGTATTTGTTGAAAAGAGAATTGACTTATAACTATGATTTAATGTATAATTATTAAATTGTATAATTATATACATTTTAATAATTAATTTCAGCATTTATAACTAAAAATGCATATAATTACAATAAACAAATTGGAGTGGTTTAGTGGCAAAATTATGGGCATTATAATCTAATGATTAGGGTTCAAGTCTTTTTATTGTTAGTAGTTTTATACTAATAAAATGGAATTAATGAGAGAATCATTAATTAATAGAATTAATGAAAGAATTGTAATTAGATGCTAAAATTCAAATTGAAATTGAAATTTACCTTAAATATAGGAGTAATTAACTAATTAATGAAGAAATTAGACTTAAATAAAGGAATAATAAATTTGGTATTAAATCTCATTTATCAAAAAAAAATTGGTATTAAATATAAATTAATGGAACAAGGGGAACCGAAACAGTTTGGTTTGTATTGGCCTTTTTCGATTTTGTATTAACTGATACAGATCTGGAACAGCCTGATACATGCCTATATCGGCCGACACATGAAAAGAAATGGAACACATGATTTTTAGATGTTCCATGTATCGATTTCTTATTGGAACGATATGTTGTGATATTTTAAACCTTCATATACTCTATTTCAGTCCTTTCGATATGATACAATACTCTATATGATACGATATTCTTTTTTTGTAGTTTTTATTAATTGTGTATTGGGAGACCAAAAGACACGGTACAATACACTTGATATGGGATGCATCCTATTAATACCTTGAACCTTTGCTACCTTTTTGTGGACGGAAGTACAACGTTTTAAACTACATAAAACTTGGTTTTCTTTTGTATTGATTGAAGGTGTATAGCGAGTTTTTGCCACAAGGCATTTGCACAATTGCTCAGTTTCTCTTTGTAGTAAAATCTAATAATTTGCTCCACCCTTGCAATTGCATGCTTATTAAAAAGTGCTTATCGGCTCTTGAATGCTTACTCACGATTGGTTATTGTAATTAGTGATTACGAGTGTTTGGTAAAAGGGTTAAACTATGAATCTATGATGCTAAAAAGAGGTAACATACAAGTGACTAGCATTGTTAAAAAAGTGGTAACAAATTGGGTGGTATTTACCTATTTATCAAAATTCATGGGAAGGTTTTGATTGGTCAAAGCTCATATATAGGCTTATAGTGAAGGGATGAAATATCCATCGTATGGATGTCCTAATCTTGTGGAATAGAATGAACGAATTTTAAAAATCTTTCCATTTTACTAGAAATCGCATTTTTTATTTTAGAAAAATATATTTTTTAATTATTAATCTTGAACCAATAACCGAACCAGATCTGAACAAAAACAATAGGAAAAGGATATACCTAATACGAAGAAATAATATCTCCTAATGAATGTGTTTACGCCCAAAAAATAAACCAAAAACTACCTACTGAATATGACGAAGTGCAGGATAGAGCAGAATTAACAGCATTCTTCACAAGAATCAGATCTTTCGCAAGAATCAGCTAGATGGCACGTGAGCACTACTTTCAATCAGCCCTTTCACAAAAGACTGATATCAAGATCCTATCTTGATCCTACTGATAAGAGAACGAACTGACAGATGTGGCAGTAACAGGAAGGAGGCGGCAAGAAAGAATTTGCACAGAAGTGCTGAATTCTTTCTTTTGTGTTCTTCACCTCTGAAGAGGATGTGAAATATGTATTTTCTTAAGGTTGTTCTTTCCTCCTTTTATAAGCTTAAAGAGATCAATTTCTAATCTCATTAGGAATTATTGATCCAAATCATATTTGGATCAGAATTCCCTTTAAATGATAAGGGTAAACCATTATCTTATCTACAGATTAGATCAGTCTCTTCATAATCCTTAAAGTTTCAGATCTGGACTCTCTGAGTGGATAGGGTTAAGATCCAATCCTATCTGTTAATTTAATCTCAGAATTCGCCCCTTAATTGATCAAATCAACCCAGTTCGAAATGGGCTTTAAGCCCAATAAAGTTGTGTTCACTTAGCCTTCCAAACTACTACCCAATTGGGTTTCCTTGTATGGCATGTGACCCAAACATTGATCTACACATCAGTCACATGTGCTCTATTGGCCCAACACTTACCATAAGTAGTCTCTGAGCTAAGCCACCTTATAACACCCAAGGATTGTAAACAGATGCAAGATTAACCCATCAGGTATTACCCCCAATGGTCTTACACTTAACCTCTCAGCGCATAATGATCAAATACTGTCCGACAAGAGAAGATCTCCCTCGACTGCAAGAAACAGTGTTGCACTATCTACTCATTGATCCCGGGAATTAAAACATTTTACAAACAATTAAAAACAGTAATATATATATACTTTTATCTCATATAAAATATATTTTGCAAAACAAATATCAACGATTGAAATCGACTGCCGACAGTTTTTGTTTACATCAGAAAATGCATCATCGATCATTACTTTTGTCTAACAAAAGAACTAATCCTGTCACTATGACCCACTCAGATGAATTTTCAAACTATCCCAACATACACAGGTTTTGACCCCCGCTAAGAATCTCATTGATTGTCATATCAAAGACAGTCAAATCCGATACCTAATGTAGTATCATAATCAAGTCTAGGAGTCAAGTATAACTTTCTAATTTTGTCCATCAATCTCCAAGATTCAAGGCAATACTTAAAATCTGATATAGTTCAAAGATTCAATTAATCATACACTGCATGTGTCTTAAGTCTCACCCTAGCAACTGAAACAGACCACCCCAACATTTGGTAGCACACCAATGTCAACCTTAACAGGATAAATCTCTCCAGACTTATCTAACGGTTATAAATATTCTAAAATAACACGAATCTCATAAATATCCAATTTAAAAATATTACACAAAAACACCACAAGAACATGAATCAAATATATACTTTATTCATTTACAATAAATTCATAATGTATATCATTCTGATTGGAGCTAAAGACATACAACTATCTAACATATAGGACTTCTTTCAAATAGGGTAATATAAGCATATTGAAATTACATGACAAGCCAAAACTATTAAAAGGCAATATGCCCATTTTTTAAAAAATGCTTAAAAATAAGCAAAAAAATCCAACTTATTCAAAACAAACTTATTTTATGAAATAAACACTTATTCAACATTTTCCTCAAATGCACGCAAGCATCTACTGTTGTAATCCTCACCTAAGTGTTTATTCAAACAAGTGAATAAAAATGAACCATTCTCAAACGAGTTCAAATCTGCCCCCACAACGTCCCACAGCACATCGCCATGTATTGTAAACATCTCCCGATGATGACATCATCATTTCTGATATCATCATCGGGAGATGTTACCAATACACGACTTGAATGTGCTGTGAAACGTTGTGGGGGACAGATTTGCTCACTTCTCAAACTGGGGCTTAATGCTTAATACTCAAATACTCAAAACTATACCGTGATACACTGATACGTCTCTAAATTACGGATAATAAAGTTTTTTCAAGGGGACAAGAAATTTTCTTTTTTCATATGTTGGAAGTTGAAACCCAAAAAGAATAGGTGATTTCATGCCCCGATAAATTCACAATTATGTTGCCATGCTCAATGAACATGACGGAGAAAAGAAAGATCACGAACATCTGTCGGGCAATACGAGCTATTGACCTTGCCCATGCTCATTTTGGTGCAATTGACTAAAACATTCCCAACTCGACAGACTTCGTCTTCATGCATTCTACCAGCGTGATAGGGCCCTGGATTTTCTCAATGCAATACTGACCGTTACTGCCACTTCTTAGCCAAGTCCAACTCCACCCGGTAAGATGATCCACTTCTGACAAAATAAAGGACGGGAGAAGAAAATGCCAAAATGGATTAAAAACTGATTTGGCATCTCGCACCCCTAGTCAAAAGTTTAACATAGTTCCGAATTTTAATATGTGAAACATGACTGAAACTAAACATTGCAAGACCAAAAGCAAAGGCCTGTTTTTAAATGATTAGTATATATATAAAAGGCTAATAAAACCGTAGCTTCCATTTTCCCTTGATTAAACTATAACCCGAAAACAGAATCCAAGAATATAAATAGGGCAAACATCTAAGTGCACAAAAAATAGAGCAATTGTTTTTTTCTGGGATGGGAGTAAATGCTTGGTCAGCCAAACTGTTAAGATGCCAACAACTCAACTAGAAATCTTTCTGAACATCAGCCTATTTCCCTCTTGAAGCCTGTAAAGAACCAGACTAGCAGGGCAAAGTAATATTCACCACCCAACATTCCACCCTGCCTGCTTTTCGTCCTGGTTCAGGTAAATCACCCAACTCTTGCATCCAAGGTTCAAAATATCGATATGCCCGATATGCCGGTATGGGCATATCAGGCAAATCAATACTCCTTTTGGTGTTTGTTTTTTATTTTTATTTTTTTGGCCAACTGGTTCAGGGACGCCAGTTTAGGTCTTCGCCACACCCTGAACCGGTCAGACCACCGATACACCCACTGTAGTGGCATATCGGTGGGGTGCTGGAACAACACGTATCGACCCACGATACTTTGAACCTTGCTTGCAACTATTCCATAGCCCTAGGGCATGATGCTACGCCACTATTTGCCATATTTATGGTCTATAGAAACATTAACCTTTTTAACTCAACTCAGAAGCGGAAGAAAAGGCCTTTGATTTATATACCCACCTGATAGCTGAAACACTGCATCCAACTTCCTATACAACTCGAACCCATGTTCCACCGCACATTGGGCAGCCATAACACCAGCGGCTTATCCACCATGCCTCTCGGTCATTTTGATTAGGACTAGCACTTCCAGGTGAAGCAAATGCAGAAGTTTGCCGTAAACATCTTATGCACTGCATTTAAGTCACAAAAGAATCCACACCAAAAAAATTACACCTAGCAATAGCATAAAGGGGGAAAGAATAATAGAAAAAAATAATAATGCTATAACATTTCATGTGGAATACAGATCTCTAAGTGCATGATTCATATCATCCAAGATTTGCAAGCGTTCGGTTTTGGTTTGTATGGTCTAATGAGAGAGACTCTCACAAAAGCAACAAGTAAAGTAATTCAAATGCACCCCACCACACACACACACAAAGATTAGGAGTCGGCATTCTGAGATCTGCAGCCGTGCATTGGGAACATCTCCCCATGAATAAAAACATCCAAGATGTTCCCGATGTACTGGCAAGGGCTGTGAGGTGAGTGTGAGGACCGATGCTGTGAGGAGGAAATCCGAACTTGAAGTAAATGCATACAGTATAGCATTCCATGTTCATTTTTCAGTCAATGGAGGGGGAAGGTTGGTCAACGGGAAGGTGGTTCCCATTGACCAATAATCCCATGTTCGCTTTTCAGTAAACTGTGGGTCCCACTGTAAATTGCTTTTCCCTATGTATTACTTAAGTGAAGCCCATCTCCCAGGTGGGTAACTTTCTCGCCTGGGGGAAAAGTTGCCAGTTGCCAAAAAAAACATTATGGGACAAAATTGCCCCTTCTAATAATTGCATTCTATGGGTACAAATGGTCAAAAGAACACTAACCTGGGTAGCACTTTTCGATCAAAAGAACACTGCCAAGTGCATTTACCCAGGTAAATGGCTTAGAGAAAACAAATGGGGCCCCAAAAGTTTCAGGCAAAAGAAAGAAAAAGAACTGCTATTCCTAAGCATCTCAGTTCACCACCTTTCTGTTTGTTAAAAGCATCAAATAAACCTATGGTCCATAACCAGCATAATGGGATGACTTTCCACCAAGAAAATCATGTAGATGGGAGCATGGAACCCAATGTATGATTAATTTCAATACCCTCCACAGCCCTAATATGAGACTTTCTCACATCCGTTAATTGTCCTCGGTGATCTATTGATAATAATGGCAAGAAAAATTATAAGCACAGGAAACAGAGGTTAGCATCAAACCTTGTACCAAACCCCTTCAAGACCTGTTTTCCACACAGCAGTGACAACATCTCTTCGAGATCCCATGATACCAAAATATGCTCCCAAGCCCACTGAAGTTTTCAAGCCAAAAGCTGCATCCCTCTCAGACATCCTGCGCTTCCTTGGCCAGAGGCCAAGGTCTCCATAATAACTATTGTAATCTTCAGAGGAATTAAACTCAAATGGGCCAAAAGAATTGCTCAGCTTGGAGTTATCATCTATAGCACCTTCAGGATCAGACCAGGGGCCACCAAACATATTACGTCTATGCCACTCTTCAGCTGGAGGATGGAGTTCCAACTCACGAAGTAGCAAACCAGCAGCATCCGCACCTCTAGGACGTGGCATATTCTGCATTGTAAGCACATCAGAGAAGTATGAACAAACAAATAAATAAATAAATATAAAAAGAAAAGTGATGCATGGGACCAGGAGGCTGCATCAGTTAAAAAGAGTTAAACTTTAGAACAGGAAAGAGGTATAGTGAGGAATACCTCTGTACTGGGCTGCCCTTAAAGAGGTATACTGAGTTGGAATTTGTTAAATTTTTAAGAAGCACAAAACCCAAGGCCCAGCCTGACACAATTGAAATTTAATCCTGAATTGCTTCATGGGGGCCTAAAATAAAACTTGGGTTATGCTGCCTAATGCCCATACAAGTGGGCATGAGCCCAAGCTTCAACTCATGTTTGGAACTTGTGTTATATCGGACATAGATTTCATGGTAGCATCACCAACTGATAACAAACAGTGCCTTCAAAAACATCAGTAAGATGCATCACATGGTGAACAAAACACCCTGCTGCATGTGACAGTATAAAATACAGAAAAGGAACATCTCCATTCCTTTACAGCAATTCATTCATAACACTTGTCAAACTCATAGGTGACCTTTTATTTATCTCTTCCAACTTTGTTAGTTTCTGAACAAAGCTAGTAATAAATATAAATACCGCATTCATCAAAAAAATATAAATACCTGCATATGTGGACCAAGGGATGCTTCTACGACCTCAGGTAGAACGGTGTAGTTCCCATCAATATAGTGCAAGCGGATCTGGATATTGCTTCCTCCAACCTGAGAAACTGGCAATGGATGTGCCAAACCTGCTGTTCTTCTACAGAGATCCATTAGGATGAGGAAAAGAACCTTAACCTGCATGATATTAATATTAATGAAGTTATCTCCAAGTTTTTAAGTAACTTTGTGGTTTCCTACAGACAATAAATGCCAAACTAAGATTTTAGAAATAAAAAATCACGAGTATTACTCAAGCAAATAAGAAAAACATAAAATGGCAACACACAGGCAATGACACTTTTCTTTACATTCTGCATCTAAACAAAAATGAGGGAAAAGTGGATAGGAAAGATCATTAACTTACCTCATCAAAAGTGTACCCTTGACCAGCATTTCCAGAACCTACTCTGACCGACCGGCTAACTGGACCTTCTTCAACCCCTTTTGCTCCAGAAACAGGCTGCCCAGTCCGAGCTCCCTGGACATCCTCTGACCTGGTCATCCCTGGTGCTGGTCTTGCTGGCACAGAGTTTACTTCCTCCACCTTTCCAGGGGCGACAGGCTGAGGCTTTTGCATATTTGAATCAGTGTTTCTCTGTGCACCCCCTATATAACGAGGCATCTGCTTTCGCCGAAAGAAAAAGCAAAAAAGCAGAAGTTGGCATAATCTATGAAGAAAATGGCAATCCCCAATGAGCCTGACAGCAGGAGTTCCTGGAAAAGTTCCTGTATTGATACTAATTGGCATAAAGGGAGCTGGACCACTCATAGGGTTTGGTGTTGAATAAGAAACTCCATCACTACTGCTACTAATTTTAGCAATAGCACCTTGCATCCAAGCTTGCATCTGGGAGTTTCCCGTGGAACTTGTTCCACTTTGACCTCCTGGAAACATGATAACAGAATCAATGTCATATTTATTCAAAAAATAAATCATTGTCATATAAAATTTGTATTCATTCCATGTGTGTAAAGGAAGATTCAAAAGAAAGTAGCATGAGTTTTTGAGAAAGGGTAACTTTCATTGAACTCATTAAGGCAAGGAGGGGGTGGGGGATGATGTACAAAACCAAGAAGCTACAAAACAGAAATTACAATGGCAAAATGTTAGCACTATACAAAAAGGCCCCTATCCACCCCTGATTTAGCTAAGGAATCAGCCATAGCATTAATCTCTCTAGGAATCCATCTGAAGGAGCAAGAAAGAAGAGAGGAGAGAACACAAATTTAATTTATCAAAATGATCCAATCTCCAAGGTCCCACCTCCTGGTTAGAAGCCCACCCAATTGAACTCAGCATGAATCATTTGACCCAAGTATGTAAGCTGAACTGAGGCAAGCATCCCACACCTCTAAAATGGGACCAAAATGGCAATCATTTCATGTTATTTCTATTAATCATTTTCAATGGAAGGAAAAACTAGCATTGAGTAATGCCATACGGAAGCATTCATCTCACACCTTCAAAATGGGTCCAAAATGGCAAGAATTGCCACAAAACATGCCTCAATATTTTAGTATTTCATGTTTATTTAAAGTTTTCATTGTTAATGCAAGGGAAAATAAGAACCGGTTTTTGCTAGATAAAGGATTAAGAAAGATTGTGATGCTGACACATGCTATAAGTTACCACCATCAATTCAGTTGTCCAGTCTCAATTCTTTTTCCTTTGTATGGTGTTTCTTTTATTCTTTTCTTTTCTTTCTTGGTGGGGTGTGGTGGGTCGGGGATGGCAAAGCATTTCAGACTTCTAGAATGAAATTTTAGTATTTGACTGGCTTTTTCTTCCATTATCACAGCATATAAAGAAGAGTAAGTTCAAATAGATCACAAGATCATGCAATCTAATATATATATATATATATATATATAATAAAATTGGATAGTCCATGCCAACATGTCTCTCCTTTGAGAGAAGCTATTTATCTATTTCTCCATTTTTTGCATTTTTTCCTATTTTCTTTTGTTTTAAAAATATAAAAAGTAATCATTACCTATTTTGATTAGATTAATAAATCTGCACACTATTAGAGAGAAAAAGAGAGAGAGAGAGAGACCTTTGGGTTTTCCAAGGCATCATATTTTAATGCATGTTATTATTACATTTAAAAAGGCATTTAAGAGAGAGAGAAAGAGAGAGTAATACAACATAATAAAGTCAAATATTAATAAGTCAAATAATAAAAATACGTTGAGGTTAAACAATCAAATATAAAGCAACAAAAATAAAAAATATTGTTTCAAAAATTATTAATTTAAAAATCCACTAAACCTCCACTTAAAACTAATAAATATTATCAAAACTTAGTAAAAATCAAAAACACTAATAAAAATAAAACTTAATAAACACTAATAAAAATAAAACTTAATAAACACCAATAAAAATAAGAAATTTAAATACAAAAAATATTAGTTGATAGTTTTAATAATATTATGATTTAAATATGGATTTAATATATTGCAAATAGAAACCATGTTTTAATGTTGTATTTTGTTTTGTTTATTCTTTTTTATTTTATTAGATAACTTTGTATTAATATATTTGTAATTAATTAATTAATAATATTGTTAAATAAATAATTTTTATGAATTGAGACCTTTATTGTGCATAGTGCCCATACTACACAAGAGACTTGTATAAAATAGAAGACCCATTAAAAATGAAATAAAAATAACAAACTAATGCAAATTTAAAATGTAGAACCCGTTTTATCACTTATACAGAGAAGACAAGCTAAACGGGTCTGTCTAGAAACCCGTAATGTGTGATACACGACATACAATAATAATAATAATAATAATTTATATATAACTTGAAACTTAATAACTATAATTAATAAAAATTACTAAAGTTAATACAAATATCAAAATTTAGCAAGTTTTTATCTAGCAACTATTAAAAGTTAAGGAATTAATAAAAACTAGTATTAATTTGTACTTAGGGATGACCATTTATAAAAATTAGTATAATTAATATTAATAGGATAATTAAAATTAATAATAAAAAGTAAAAAATTATAAAAATAATAAAATAAACATTTATTAAAATATAAAATAACAATTATATTTGTATTTAGAAAAATCAGAATAGGTATTTATCTATTTTCTCCTTTTTCGTATTTTTCTTATTTTCTTTTGTTCTAAAAATATAAAATAATAATTATTGTCACTAACAAAATTGTATATCATTAATATTTAAAGTTGCGCACTATTACCAAGATATTATATTATTAAAGAGAAATTATTTTACAAAAGAGAGACAATTAAAAGACAGTATTAATGAGAAAGAAAGAGAGAGAGCATTTAGGGTCCATTTGGTTCACAGTCGGAATCGGAATCAAAATCCTTTGGAATCGGAATCGGAATGGCATATTCCCATAGTCTATTTGGTTCATATAGGAATGGGAATGGGAATTGGAATCAGCAGGAATGGGATTTCATTCCCAAGGGAGGGCAGGGAATGACAATTCCCTCAAATGGGGGAATGCCATTCAAGCAGGAATGGGAATGGGATTCCAATTCCGCCCAACCAAAGAGTTGGAATCGGAATAGCCAATTCCAATTCCGATTCCAAACCCCTATTCCTACGAACCAAATAGGGCCTTATATTTATTAAAGAGAGAGGGGGTGATGTAAGGACGTTTGGGTATTTTAGGCTCCCCTTATGAACTAAAGAACTCATGATACAAAACCCTAATATTAATAAAGTATATAAAATATTATTAAATTAATAATAAGATAATAATTAAATAATAGTACTGTAATAAAATATTACTAAAATAACAATAGCAAACAAAGATATTAATTATTAAATATAATAATAATAATAATAATGTATAAATAAAATATTAATACAATATATTTTGGGATAGGAAAAATAATTTTAGTTATAATAAAATTACTATTTAAGTAATAAATACATAATACAATAAAAATATTAATATTAATAATTAAAAATAAAATATTCATTATAAATACTAAGATATTAATTATTAAAGACTAATAAAATTGTTAGTTGATTCCAATTCCAACTCCAACTCCAAATGAACCAAACAACAGCAATCAAAATCCAGTAATTATGTATACATATATGTTATGTATAACTATATAAAGTTTATAATTGAAAATTTTAATATTTTATATTTATATACATTTATTTTTTTGATAAATTATTTATATACATATATACTTTAAAAATAATTGGTTTTTTAAAACTTCTTTAATTTTTTGTCATTTTAAACACAATAAGATGGTTGCAAATTAAATGCAAAGATGATCCAAAACTGAACATGCTAATCAGATGCAAAATGTGGTTCTAGATTTCATAATCGAATGTAGATGCAGATGCAGATGCAGATGCAGTTGGTTCAAAATGTGGTTCTACTGTCTATATTGTGTGGGGTTAGTGTAAGTCTGAGTTAGACCTAGCTTAGAAGAAAATAGTTGCTTTAGCCTGAAAATTTGTTGGTTTAGCCAGGTTTAGAATAAGTTATAAATGATCATCCCTAAGTAGGAGTCTTAAGACATTTATAATTAGGTCTTTATTAGTTTTAATATTTTAATTAAATTTTATAGTTTTTAAATGGAATGCAACTGGTTTATTTTATTATTTTTAATAATTTTTTATTTTTTATTATTATTTTATGATTTACTAATTTTTATGAATTTCTTAATTTTTAATAGTTGCTAGATAAAAAAAATTGCTAAAATTTAATTTTATTTATTAGGTTTCAAATTACAGTTTTATGACAATTAACCAATTAATAGAATTCGAATGCGAATAGGGATGGCAATGTTCCCCATCCCATCAGGTACTCAGCTTCCCCGACCCGATGGGGCTGAGGATGTATATTGCCTTGGCAAGGATGGGGATTGATAATGATACCCAACCGAGGATGGAGACAAGGATTTGCTTCACAATCTCAAACCTTGAGCTTGGACTTAGATTAGTTTAATTATGACTAAAGAAGTTAATCTACAGATTAATTTAATTATAACATTTAATGAATAATAAAGTAAAATAAATAAAATAAAACACTAACAGATAAAATAAAAAATAATTATTTATCGAGTAGTTAGCAATAATTTATTATTTTCTATTAAAAATTACAAATATAATTGATCTAAATATTTAAATTATTTTTATAACAAATTACTAAAATTATAAATATAGTTATTAGTTTCCATCAATTTTTCAACCTGTCTTTGACCCAGCCGATTGAACTGTTTGAACTGTCACTCGACCAGGATTCCGGGTCTGATTCAGTCAAGACTCGTCAAATGGTCAAAAACTACTAACCTGGTCAAGAACTGTTCAACCCATCTGGTTCAACTGTTGACCCGTTCGACTCGGTGACCGGGTCACGGGTTGCACACTCAATGCATGCAATCGGAGGCCATAACTTTGCACTCCGATGTCCAATTGGGGTGTTTTTTTAAATTTTGGGTAACTTTTCGAGATCTATGCATTCCAAGGAGCCGTAAGCGCCTTACCCCACTATTTTTGCGGAAAAAAAAAAACCTTTTATTGGCCTCAAATCGTAATTTTTAATATTTTTTATAATTAAAAAATTAAGAAGTGAATTAAAAACATAAATTAAATATAAAATAATACATATAACATATTTATACATTATTTATTGCTAAAATATATATTTATACACACACACACACACATATATATATATATATATATATATATATATGTGTATATAAAAATATATACTTAACATATATATGCAATGACACGGCACGGTCTGAACCAAACCGGTGACCTGCAACCTGGAGGCAAAAATGGTTCGACCTTCGGATCGGTTTTTAAAACATTGGTTTCCATTGTTTTACTTTTCCTTGACAAATCCTGTGCATCGCACGAGTCCCTGCTAGTTGAATATAAAAGTGGGAGAAGGCCTATACTTACCCTGACTGGTTACAGAAGATGCTGAGCTATGGGTAGGACTTGTAACCATATTTCTATTGCTGCCTGTGCTAGAAGTCGCTCCAACAGCATGACTGGCCAATGTACGGCAGAAACTTGCATAACGGCGCAAGCGTGTGATGAAGTGTGACGCAAGATCAAGCACTGCATCAACATATGCCTGCAATATATTTAAGATGACTTTTAACCTTGGGGTAACATCATAGATAAAGAATAACAATCACTATAAGTGAACATAAGCAGGACACTGACTGATGAGGATCTTCATCCATATATGGGTCTAGATGGAGCTGCACAACTGTCCTCCAAGACCATGTGTAACTAGGACTCAAGTTGGACTTCCCTAGCACTTGAGTTTCAACCTGGGTTAGGTTGAAAAACCCAGCCCATGGATGTAGATCCACCAAAATTACCACCATAACTTAAGCCAGAAAATCATATTCAATCATCACTCAAGAAGTTTTTGCATAGCATTTGCATAAAAGCTTCGATGAGTTTCTAATCCAAGGAAATCCTCCTAAACAATCCGGAATAGGTATGAGAATGCAACACAGGATATATAGGTTAAGTCTCATGAAACATCCAACAGAAAATCAAAAAAGTAGTCAGAGTATCCTAGATGACAAACATAGTCCATAAAAAATGGACCATATTAGAGGAAAGAGCAACCATCTGATAAATCCCAGGCATTTAGTTGATAAACTGTCACAAATACCAACATTAAATAATTTGCTGTGTAGGGGAGATGACCTTACTCCCTTTTTTCCATAAGCATAATACAAATATACATCATATATTCAAAACTGAAATGAAAATAGGTACACAATGAAAGATGCAATGGAATTATCCAAACAAGGGGCTCTGAGGCAGCAACTTTTTTGGGCTCCCATGTAATTTGGAATTGCTGGTGGTAATATTTTGGGCTTGAAGTTGGTGAACGACACTCCCACCACCAAGTTGTACTAATTTCTGTTAAGCAAGTTTAATAAGATAAAATGCATCTTCTACTGATAAAAAAACGAAAGATGCAATGGAAGAACCAAAGTAAAACCTGGATGCTTGAGACTAGTGCTGGTTCAACAGTCATTGCATCTGGGTCTATTCCAGATAACATCTCCCCAGAAGCCTGCCAAGGCTCACTTACTAAATTCGCAGGATTTATTAGAGCTGATTCAATTCCTTTTCCTAGCATGTCGAGCAGTAACCTTGCTTGCATATCTAAAACTAGAGCCCTAACCTCCTGAGCATTTGTACCTTCCAGCAGCCTGCACTTTATCCTATCTAGGCTCTGCATGAAACCACAAAACAGATTCAATTTCAGAATTCACAACACTGGTTGCATCATAGGATAAAGTTCCAATCATTATCACCATCATTTAAGCCATGTCCCAGCTATATGGGGCCAGCTAGGATGAAGTTCTAATCTAGATATCAAATAAGATAGGAGGACAAATGCATCACAATTTGAAGTATACAATATAACTAACCTCAGCAACAGGTCAAACAAGTATGAAAATGGAAATGTTCCATAAAGTCCAGACATGAAGTTCTAATGCAAGCATTCCACAATTCACAAGTTACTTCATTGTATATTTCTCCTTTGCATTGCATATCCTTTTTTAGTCCTACTCTTGAAAGTGTTTTTTTTCCAATGTTTAGAAAACCAGACCAGGCAAGCCAGTCAAACCAGTTGAACCATGCCTGGGCACATGGCCGGTCCAGTCATACCCCTAAAACTGCATAAAACCACCCACCCGACCCATCTGACCTATGAACTGATGACCCAATCACAGTTTTGCATAACTGGCCAGTTTTTTCCATTGCCTTTTTTCCTGCCTTTAAAGGCAAAAAGACAAAAAATAAAATGGGATTGGATGCCTCCTCGTTCTAAAAGCCCCAAAACCCTCAATTTCCCCTTTTCATCTCATCTCCTTCCGTTCAAACCATGCAACAGTGGCACAACCACTGCCCATAGCTGCCAGGCCACAGCCACAGCCACCACTCGCCACACCACCAGGTTAGCCATCACCCTATGTTGCTGCTCATCTTTCCTCCTCCCAGCATTCAATCCCCTGTTTAATTATTGATCATTGCATCTTTATACCTTTTAATCATTGGTCATTCCTGTTTAATCGTTGGTCAATTTCAATTCGCGGTGGCTACCTTCATACCTTGGGTTGGACATCTCAATGAGGTTAGCGGCTGCAACCTTATTTTTTATTTTTCCACCCATTAAAAATTATTTGTATGAATCATACAGCTTCTAAAACGTATAATTGCTTGTAAAAAAATTGCAAATTGTTTGTAGAATGCTAGAATGCCATTTAAAAATTATTTGTATGAACCCTGCAGCTTTCAAAATTTATAATTGTTTGTAAATAAATTGAAAATTGTTTGTAGATTACTGAAATGCCATTTACAATTATTTGTATGCACTATACAGCTTTTAAAATTTGTAAGTGTTTGTTGAATTTAAAATTTTTAAATTGTCTGTAGGCAAATGCAACTTTTAAAATTTATTGCATGCATGTTCTAAAATTGTTGAATTAAAATCGATTGTATGCATTATAATTTATTAAGTTTTGAATTAAGATTCTTGAATGCCTTTGTGATTGCTAAAATTGAATTGTTATTTGTATTTTGCATTATTTTCCTTCATGTTTAGTTTTTTTTGTTTTTGCTTTTTTTTTTGAATTTTTTTCTTATATTACATCATCACAATTCGATCCCGGTTGAACCTCTCCCTTTTACGGGTTGATGCCTGGTCCGCTTCTAAACATTGCTTTTTCAACTTCCAAGGCACAGACACACATACAAGACAGTAAGTTAACTGAACCTTTAAAGCAAAAAACTATTCAACCAAAATTCCAAGCATATATCATCAGTAAGTTCATTCCAGGGATCTCAACCCTATTGTCAGCGGCTTGACTAGATTGCAGTAGGATAGAACAAGGTTCAAAATCCCTAATATGGCGGAAGATGTGCATTGGTACTTTGAACCTTCCGCTTTTTAAGTTTTTTTTCCAAATTTCCGAAGTGGGCCATTTTTATTTTATTTAACCATTAAAAAATGATTTTCCTAAAATATCTTAAAATAACCACAAGATGATGGAAGGAACTGTTAAATTTCATCAAGGTGATAGCACCATTGACTGCTCCCCCTCCCCTGGTGTGTAATATAAACTAAATTTCGAAAGGTGCTGTTTGGGGAAACCAGGTGTCCTAAGAATTGATTGGGATTCCTGAAGCTGAACCAAGAACAGATGATCTTATCAGAGCATTGTGGACCTATTAGAGTGGGAAACCCCATTATGGGATATAGGGATACAACTCTTCAGCTCCTATAAAACTCTGGACACAGATACAGGTACACGTATCCAATGTTATATGCTAACATCATGTATTTATACCTAGTTTTTTAAGCTAAATGCCACTTCTCAGGACCAAATTTAATAAATTTCTAGCATGTGAAGATTTTTTTATAAATATTCAAACATGTGAAGATTTTTTTATAAATATTCAAACATGTGAAGATATTTTTATGTATAATTTGTCAAAACATACTACTTCACATGTTTTATAAGTGTTAATGCTATAAAGAATATCTAAAACTACCCATGCAGTATCCAGTATCACATCCATACTGGTACGTTAGGAGTATTCAGATATCCAGGTATCATAGAGCATGCTTCCAGCTCTTCAAACTTACTATCATCTAGGTTAGAGGTGGAAGGAGGAGATTCATAGATGGCGATTTGATCAATGATGGGTGTAACAATAACCCTTGGGAGTTCAGACTTGTTTTAGAGAAGCAAGATTTTTGGGCTGTAATTTGAACTCCTCCATTCGAATGGCTTATTATTAGTAGAGTGGCAAATATGTTGATTCTCTAGCAAGGAAGGGTGTGGATCAGGTTAAGATGTACATGAATCCACCTAAGAGGGTAAACTGAGGGATAAGGAAATGTAAAAAAGAAAAAGGGAACTGAAGACTCAAAAAATAGAGTGGTCTCAAATTAAGGAGACTTGATGTAATTTACTGATCCTTTCATAATTAATAAAATTCTCTTGGATCTGTTAATGATCCAAAAAGTTGGTAACTTTTTAAATTAAACAATCCCCAAGCATCCTTTGCAAATAAGCCTCTTGAAGCTAAAGAAAATGAGATTCCTTATATGGGATGCTCATACTTGATTAGCACTAGTGAAAACACCAAAGAGTAAAAAATGAGGATATTCTGAAAAACATGCTTAGAAATAAAAAAAAAGGGAGGGGGGGACCACAGAAGAAAATCTGTTGAAACAAGCCTCTGTAGATGCCCCATTCAAGCACATTCAAATAGAGTCCTTATCTGCTAGTAATAATAAGTGCTAGGCACATCATAGGTTTGCCCCACCTGTCCTCCACTCTTGAGAGTTTTTACAAATCATCATCATTGAAGCCTCATCCCAACTATATGGGATCAATTACATGATTCCTGTTTCACCATTTCAAAAATCAATGTGCATATATGCATCTTGCCCAAGTGTTATGGTCTTATGGACAGGTGAAACAAGCCTTTGATGTGCCTGCCCTAGCAGTGTTTTTTACAAGTAGATTCACTCCTGTTAAAATAATGGCACCCTTTACAAAAATGAAACACATGCCCGTGCACACACATATACACAAAAATAAATAAATAAATCTCTTTCAACTGGAACAGGAAGAAAAAGACAGTAGAAACATACAGGGCCATGTTGTTGTCTATGCTGAGTAGATGGAAGAGAATGAAAATCCGCATCCAATACCGCAATGACACTGTTTAGTGAGACTGAAACAAAATGAAAATGAGTTAATAAAATGGGCCCACAATGTTTTAAGAATGTAATTGAACCAGACGTTACACGGTGGCACATAAACAAAACACTAACAGCAGTCACAAAAATGAGACTACCCTAATAACTCAGACCAGGTCACCAGGTCAGCCTTAAAAATTACATGCTTTCACATATGCACATGGCACATATCATCCTAGCCTTAACACCACACAAACACATAGAAGCACAAGGCACAAGCACCCACAGCTACAAATACAAGTTCATAGATCAACAGAACAACATGCATGTGAACATGCACATGAAACCTACCTCTAACCTCTCTCAACAGACACATGCAAAAAAATAACTGAACTCAAGTAACTACCAAGAAGGAGATAAAATAGTCTTTAGAAATAGCACCATTAAAATAACAATCAATATAAAATGCCTTCCAAGGAAAATTACACCAAAGGCATGGCAAACAAGTGCCAGAATGGCCAATGAGTTCACAATCTGGAAATAATTGAAAAAATGCTGCAGATCCAGTTATGTACCAATATATATCCACACACAGCCATGCACTCACATGATAGACTTTGGATTACATGCAATTCACTTCTTTAAAATAGCATGGCCAAGTAAACTTACCCCTTATATCTTGAAAAGATGTTGTTTGCATCATAAGATATAAAGCTCTAATAGAAGGATGACTAAGATTGACACTTTGAATCTAGGGCTGCCAATAGATCAGATTAAAATCTGAATCCAATTTGCCAACTCATCCTAAATTATATCATAAATTACTTATGTGAAATTAAATTTTGATGTCACAATAAGAATTAGTAGTGTTGAGTTGGTCCGAGTTGTTTTTTATTTAGTTAGGAAGTTGTTGGGCTTTAGGCCCATTAGTTTATGTTTTTTTGTTGTGACTGTTCAGCTATATTAATAGCCGCCCTACTAAGGGCATCCTTGTAATATCTCATCCTTAAGTTAAGTATAAATATAATGAGAGGTAGGTGGCTAGGGTTAATTTTACAATCTTGGTTGACTTCCTACTCTTTTCTTCTTCTCCTTTCTTCTCTACTGCTGAAATCTTCATCTTCCCCCTCTTTCCTTTCACAAGAAACTCGACTAAATCTGCAATTAGTGATTTCTTCTTGGTATCAGAGCGGGCCGAAGGTTCCTTGAAGTTGTTCTCTCATGCAGCCCTAGATCGGCCGACTGCAAGGTGATTTAAGAGGTTGATTGAAGCTCTCAGGTAAGCCCAATTTTTGGATTTTTTTGGTGGATCTGTGTGCCCTGTAGCTGGTCTAGGGTTTCTTATCAAAATCAGGAAAAACTGAAGAAAGGGAAAGAGTCTTGTTTCTGTTGGACTCTTCAATTTTGACCTAGGAAGTGGCGCCCTAATTTTTTAGGGTTCCTTGGAGTTTTTTGTAAGGGGTGATTCAAGTCCTGCCTGATTTGGAGGCTTCTAGAGAGAGCGGCTGCCTCCTCTCTCTTCTCCCGTCCCACAGAAAATGAATCGTTTGTGGGAAGAAAGTCTAGGACACCAGAAAGGTGTTGATGGTTCCAAAAAGTGTTTTGTTTGATCTTGTTGCAAATTTTAGTTATTTTCTTTACATTTTTTGAGAAGCATGAAGGGCCACGGAGTTGAAAATAAGCCCGGGAATGAAATGGGACTAGTGGGAGGTGCTGGAGACCCTTTCGGGGCTGGGACCATTACTACAGTTAGGTTGGATGGTGCAAATTACTTAGAATGGTCACAATCTGCAAAGATGGCCATTGGTGCTCGTGGGAAATTAGGGTATATCACTGCTGAAGAGGTGAAACCCGAAACTAGCAA